GTTAGGGTTTTAAAAATTTTAAATAAGCATCAAATAGGCCAAAACTTCTTTTTACACTTTTCGAAATTAATTTCCTAACATGACAAACCATTTATGTATATACTTGTGGGGAGAGTTCATTAATTGGATGATGTTAACGAAATTTTCAAAAAAAAAAAAAGAATTAAAGGATTTGAAAGTATATTTGTCCGTACAGAATTTCGGAGTATTGAAGATATATGAACTCATGTGTTTAGTAAAAATGCTTAAGAATTTTAGAGTGCAAAGAAAATTACATGTAACAATGCTGGTTTGGTAAGCTAATATAATATTAAAAAAGTTGTAAATTTGAAAAACGTTATAAAAATTGTTGTGAAGTCAATCAATTATATCCGTAAAAACGACATTTCTTCCATGAAATTGACGCAGAATAAAAAGATTTTTTAAGATGATAGATGAGATTGAAATGCTTTTGACAGAAAAAGAAAATAAGGAAACTGAAAAATATCGAATTTCAAATGGATAAGCGCGTTAGCTTTCTTTGTGCACATTAAAAGTTACGCCAATAAACTAAATGTAGCACAAGCAAAGTTAAGTTAATTAAAGTAATTTTCATACTTTGCAATCTTTTTTAAGTAAAATCGACAAACAATGTCCTTCAAATATTTTTTTCGAGTCACTTGAAGAACTGGGTAAAAATTTTGGTTTTCGGCTTAAGATTTGTATGTAAAAGAAATGATATGATGTAATGATAAAATAAATGAAATGAATACTATACTTCAAAATCATCACTCAATTTCATATTGGGGAACACCAGACCAGTGTTTCCGAATTCTAAATTCGCTATACTTATTCCATAATTTTTCTTTCATTTATAAATTCCATATAATACTTTCTACACTATATCATCTCAACAGACACTTCACCTATACAATATATTGCTCATCTTACATTTAATGCACAAAGTTTTGAAAAAATTAGATTATACATATCATTACGAGTTGTCAATTACGTCAAAATGTGAGTTACAAAAAGTGTGCGCTCTAACTAAGTTAGAGAATGCCGACTTATCAGTTATTGTTGCCTGCTCTTGACGTAAATGTCACTTCTGAAGCTATATTTTTTGACAATTGACAAGTAAAAACTGCGGCAATAATAAAATTGGAACAATAAAGGCTTCAACAAGGCACTGGAATTATAAAAATTTATTATAAAAATGGTGAAAACCTGGCAGAGAAGGATCATAAAACTAAAACATTTTTCGGTATTCGTGTCGCACCGCTATACAGAAATTGGCTGAAAAAATGAAGCTGTAGGGACAAGCTAGTGATGTAGTGAATAAAACACGTCCACCTAGGTTTGTCTGCTCCTCGTCGTTCTTTGGAATTGGACATTCCGCAAATGTCACTACACAACGTCTGGACAACGTTTACTTTCAACCACAGGGCGATGTGCCACACAGGCAACGGAACTATCGATCTTTTGAGGGAAAAGTTTCCGGACCGTCTTATCTCTCGAGGGGGTGATTGCACTTGGCCACCCAACGTAAATTCTTTTATTTGAATATCAAAGCATTCCACAAACGGCAAACCATTCCTCTTATTTGAAAACTTTTTATATGTACAAATCTATATCAGAATAATAGTACATGTTTTCAACCAAATCAAAAACTGATTGATAATTCTATATACCATCATATGATTGTATAAAATTTAAATTACAAAAACAATTTTATTATTAGTTTTTAATCCTTGTCAAGCGAATGCGTTCCAATATATCTTTTATTTGACATAAAAGAGTAATAACGACTACAATAGGCAATTTGTTAATTCATTGACGACATCGTTAATAAAGCTGACGGTACGAGTAACACCACCTCAGCTGATGCGTTGCAAGACAAAAGCGAAAGCCACAAATTAAACTCAAATGTACATACATGTTTGCAGATATAAAAAGAAGGTATATGTGAACATAAGTGTATATGCGTCTTCATAAAATTAGATAGTAGCGTTGTTAAAGGCATGTATTATTATTAATTTTTTGTTTTTTAGTCTGATAATTTTATATACTGTTCCAAATGCATTCAAAGGCGCTTCATCACTATTAAGTACTTCATAAACACATAGGTACATGTATACATAAATTGTACAATATAGTGTCTAATTGGTACACTAACTAAAGATACCGGCAGACTGATTAACTAAGTAATAGTTATTCGCACACATCTACAATAGTGACGAAAACGCCAGTGTACGGTTCCAAAACAGCAAAGTTATCAACTACCTTACCCGACTTCTTTTATAAGCATTGCCAGCACAACAACAACTCAAGCACCATACAACAATATCATGCAATACAAAAAAATCAATTCTGTTATAGAAAACTTTAACGATTTTCTGGATATTTTTTCAAAACGTCAGAAGAAAACTTTATTGGATTTATATGTACCAAGCTGGTTGATGGTGTTAATGTTACAACAGAATAAGTGGCACAAAATTGACAATTACACAAATATTTCGCTACACATACGTTGGCGTATCTAAATATGAAAAAAAATTACTCAAAAATAAGCAAAGAAGAAATAATTAGCTGTGGGCTAAAGTTTTGAAAATAAGTCTCGTTAAAAGGTATGAACGTTTCTAGCATATTTTTTATATAGTAATTTTTTAAAATTTAAAATATGTATATTTGCTAGAACGCATTGCTCAGCATGATGAAAATATATGTCATTAAACAAAGCTTCTCAAAAAACTCCAACAACCATTCGTTGACATCTTAAACTGTGCGTCATTTTATTTTTAAGGAAAACCATGGAATGGACATTTTCATAGCCTTCTCCAATACTGAACCACTTAAGTCCTAATGAAGTGATTTTTTATTTTTTTTATACATATTTAAGATAATAGATATTTGCATATATATTTAATTACAAATCACTATTGATAATAGTAAATGCTTGCATATTTTATCAGAGTCACCAAAAATATTAAAAGAAATTGAAACTAGGGCTCTTCCCTTTTCACCTAATCATGATTAAATCTTCTAAGGCTGTTTATGATCTCAACATTAATTTTCCCATCACGTCGTACGCTTCCTGCATGCATAAATTAAAATGTATATTGAATTATTTGTTGTTGATTCAATAAATTCATCCTATCACGATCAAAATGAGCAGTGTTATGCCTGAAATGCTGAGCTCAATAAATAATGTGTACTGTTTGTACAAATTTATTGGCATTTCTTTTATCCCGGCATTGAATTAATATCGGCAATCATGCGGTGACAGCTATGGCGCCATCTATTACCACACCAGCAATTTAAGAAAAATCAAGTGAAGATAATAATATTTTTTTGCGAAGGTGAAAAATAGTAAAAAAATACAGTCAATGCCGAAATCGTGAATTAATAGATTTTATTTGATTCATGCAAAAAAGTGTACTGCCCGTCACGAATTATTAAAGTGAATTTGAAAATATCATATAAATATATGTATAGACACTTAGTATTGCTCTAGAATTTCGATGATTACCTAGAATAAGTGGGTGTTGAAAACTTCCGCAATACCTTTATTAGTGCTGAGAATTTTGAGGATTGAGATCTCCTAACGAATGGACTTTATTCTTTTTTGTATTATTGTTCACCCATGACAGCTATAACAGCGTAGATCCTACTTTAATTTCTCACAAGATAAAATTCCAGCTAAAAATCTTCACAGCGTTTATCGTTTTTCATGTCACTAAAGAAAGGTTACCTATCAGTCGATATATGTATGTAAATAAGCTTTATAATATACTTGCATAAATCATTTACAAAGCAAAAAAGATTGACATAATTTTTAACAACAACTGAAAGTGACATAAAAACAATTTTTGGCCTTATTAATTTCAGGAATACGCTTTTTCTATAAACAAAATTTATTCTATGCAACTAGACTAAATACTTTTATCAAAATCATAAAAGCATTCATTGCCATCACAGGATCTGGCAATAATGTTAGGACGAGACAAATCTTCACACAATCTTCAAGATGATAACATGGTCGGTGGCATTATACCATTGCTACTAAAAGGGGCATCCCTTTAATACAGCAAAGAAAGCTTTTGGAAATGTTAATATTGTATTCAAAATGTGAGATGACATTTCAATATCTCTCAAAGTGATAAGGGATTGGCACAAAGTTTCGACGGTTCGAATAACGCTTTATACTTTCAGAAGCTATGACTAACTGATAAGTTTTACCTTTCAACATACAATACATACATATAATTTTTATTTTTATGTTTTGTTTGTTTTAATAAACACTTACATTATTTTAAGGATATAACCACTCCCTCAGTTTCAAATTCCAATATTCATTATATACTTATTTTAGAAGGGCTTTCCAAAGTAAATTTTTTTGCTTTATTTTATGCTTTAATAGAAAAATATAACATTTAAAACATTTTTTTATTCCTAAATGAATGTTTAATACTATAAACTAAAGGCATGTTGTCAAGGCAAATTTACAATAATAGATAAATTGTCAAAAACCTTTGTGTTTGCATCTGGTATTCAGATTTTTTATCGTTTTGAACTTGAACCGACCGTTATTGTTACAATTTCTAAATCGTCTCTATACAATATCACATAAGTGCAGGTATATACATACATGAGTGTATAAAGGCAAAAGCTGGTCTTGTGACCGCAAAAAAGACTGTGATTACAAAATTTCAAACACGACACTACAACATAACAATAAGAGTGAATCTTTTCTTTCTGTTTTAATTAAATTCACCACCGCTATGGTGAATATTTAAATTTTAATTCCCGCTTAGCGGTCAGATTAAACAACGCATATTCATGCACATCTACAGCCACCTTCAACTCTTTTATTTGAAACTCATCATACACCACTCACTTTTCTTAATGCTCAGTCGGGATATGGTAAGTTAGCGTCGTGAGGTTGTCGCTGAACAGTTGATTATCTGCTTTTTGGTGGTACATCTAGGTTGTGGTATATAAACGAAATGCACTGCCAACATCAGTCAAACATTGTAAGTGACGGATAGTGCAACGTTTGGTGGCACGCAAACACCAATGACATTTTTAGTGATCGTGTGTAATTAACAACAAATACCTAGGAAAGGAATAATCAACTGTCTGTCGAGCATTAATTTAAATTGATGAATGTTGGTGTTATATTTTAGCTTACACGTATATTCTGTTAGAAAATAAAAGAATAAAAACAAGTAAAATTCTTTCTGTGTCTTTATAAATTAAAGTTTTAATATTTGTGAATGAAAAATAAATAAAAAACGTCATAACTCAGCTCTGTGACGGCAACAGTAATATATATTTTAGTGATATGAATTTTCAAATGTCTGTGGTAAGAAAAAATTGTATCTTGGGGAACAAAAAATATGTGGTAAATTAAAAATTACAGAATTATGTTTTTGCATATAAGAACGTAACATTTTATAGAATTAAAACAACTTTAAAATTTTAAACTCTCTTGTAGAAAAATTACAGATATACTAATTTACAAAAGCAATTTTAAGAATTTGGGTTTATTGTGTTCTTTAAAATTGTACTGTCTAATCAATTTATAATAGAAGTACATAGAGTAACAGCGAAAAGAACTTCAAAGAAAAATAAGTCATTTTATTTTATCAAAAATCATTGTGAATTCCGTAAAACAGTAGGCTAATACCTTACGTATTGAATGAATGAAAAACTAAGATTTTGATATTTCACAATGTGCCGTTTACCATACCTTAGGAATATATTCTTTTTTCAGAAAGAATCTGCCACTTTTAAGTAAAAAATAAAAGATGTAAAGATAATTTTAATATTTCTTAATTGAGTAAAAATACGCTATTTCGCTATAAACCGTCTAAGTTGATTATATGATTCATAACCCTGTAAGCTTCATCTAACCTTTGTATAATCGAGATGTGAATATCGAAATTTAGAGAAAATAATTAAAGGTTTTCCACTCTTTCATTTAATAAATATAAAAATCTACTAATAATTACTTTTCTTACCTTTTTCGCCTAGGAAAACGACTGTATAAACTCATTCCAGCCTAAAGAATTAAAACCAAAAAAGTAAATAAATAAATTATACATATATTCATATCCTGATATGATATATGAAGAAACAGCTTTTCATAATCGATTCTTCCGTTCACTTAATATTCGCCCTCATAAGGTACATAATATTAGCACAATGCAGAATGCGACCGGACTGAGTTCATATACATACAGTTATATACACACATGTGTACATATATAGATATATAAGAGGTATCACCATATAACAAGTTATTAACAATAGTATTGTTGTCGCCAATGGCTGTTTTATATTTAGATAATGACCGATATAGAAAATAATTTACAATGAATTATTGTTATTGTAATCTCTTATTCAAGCTTCTTTTATCTGCTAAACTTCAACGATGAGCTACTTTTCCTAAAAATATAGTTAGGTATTTAAACACACATTGACAAATTCGTGAAAGATTATTTTTGTTCAGTGTCAAGTGCAGAATCTGTGCTAACGAGTATGCGTGTGTAATTTTATGAGTGATTTGTGGAAAATACACGTCCATTGAACAAGCCAAGTATAAAAGCGCGCCATTGGCAATGGTGAGTGTTGATATTCAGTTGAGGAAACTTACTCAATGAAACTCATACAAAGATATGTAAGTGGTGTTGCAAATAGGTACTTTAGTAAATTTTTATTTGCATAAATAAATGAAGTTAAATGTTTATACGTAACTAACAGTAAAATGGGGTTTTCGTATATTTTGCTTTTTTTCAACTATAAGGTTTTAAATTGAAGCTAGGAAACTATTAATAAAGAACTAAGAAAATTTTTACTTTTTGCACATCATTTCTATATTTTATTACTTTAAAATTCAAACCCGAGACATAAAAGTGCTCCATTCGGAACTCTTTCTAATGACTACACCTGGTTTTCACAAGCTATAGTCAAAATCCAGGCGATGTTGTGAGTAGGATAGAAAACAGGTATTGTTGCACTCGCCCAAACCTATATGACTTTAGATATGTATGTGTGTATATAACATACTCGTACATATGTATGTGTGGTTCAGAGCATGCCGGAAATGCTTGTGCACTCTGAGTAATGCGCAATTAATTTCGTAGATGGTACTTTAGTCAAAGATTTTTCCACACAATGTGCATGTGTCTATATATTTCTTTCTATATATTATTTATTATTTACTTTCTTATTTTCTGCGACTATTTTTTGGTGCTACTTGTTGTCATGCTTATAAAAAATATACATATAAATGCATGTAGGAGCCTAGTGTTTTCCTCAAACCTGATACAACTATGAATCACACTTTTTTTATAGTATATATACATACATATATATTTATTTATTTTTTTTACCAATTATAACATTTGCTATACATACATACAAAGAGCAGTGAACTGGTGACTGAGGTTCAACTTTATTTTATTTCTCTTTCTTTGAATTTTTTATCTCAATATTTTCGCCTTTTGCTGCAGGTATTGCAAATTTTATTTCTCTTTCTTTGAATTTTTTATCTCAATATTTTCGCCTTTTGCTGTAGGTATTGCAAATTGTTTTTGCACAATTTTTACCGCTGACTTTATACTTTTACTTTTTATACGTCGCATAACTAGCATGCACAGAGATACCAAAAACTTTTACGTTTTCCATTTTTTTTTGCGTGACTCTTAATTAAACAAACCAATGTGATGGAAAATATATACTTCCAAACAAGCATAGATGATTATGCAGCTTTATCTACACCCACATTCTCACCAACCTTACATACATATGAATATTGTGTGAATAGTGATGAATTGCTCACCACATTTGGTCGTAAGTAAAAGAAGTGATATATTACAGTTCCTCCCTATGAACAGCTCCTACTGGTTATTTATATGCAAATTTTTCTCACTTATAAACTTATAACTATTGCGGTCAATGCATTTCAACACAATGTACATATACATACAACCAAATCTCTTTTTTATTTTTTCTGTGGTTCAAACAGTGATGCCATGAAAGGTTCAGAAATGAAAAATATAAATTACATATAACATGATTATTATTTGTATGAAGAATATAGGGTTAGTAAAATTTTTGTTTGCCAGAAGGGTTTGAATTTTTTTATTTTATTTCCTATCAGTGTCCCTTCATTATACTGCTTGATTTCATATTGCTCTCCATCGCTTATGTTGCTCGAGATTATTGTTATGTTTTAATTAGCGAAGCTTTTTCGAAGTTAATTACACATTTGGCGAAAGTGTGCGATGCGGTATTTCAACAAACAAGGTGTAAGTTGTTGAACATGAAATAAATGCGGTAGGATGCCATGTCGTACATTATATAATATATACAAACACGCTTACAGTATTTAATGATATTAACAATTATCGTTATTTAAAATATTTATATTGGCAGATTTAAAATCCATCAATACTATACCAATTTAAAAAGAATTTTTTTAAATAATACATACATTGCCTGTAATTTTATTATTTTGTTTAGTATTAATTTTTCTGGTTTTTTTTTTTTAATTTGCTATAACTCTTGCAATCCATCTTTCACACGCCACAATAAACCCTTAGTCAACTTCGTATAATACATTGAATAATGCCATGGAATATATATGTACAGTCATAAACATAGAAACCATTTAAACAGTCTTCAATTTAAAAGAATGAGTTTTGCATTTATCACATACTGTGTGTACGAGTGTATGTGCAACTTATGCAAGGAGTGGGAAGCAGTTTTTGTATTTTCATATTTATTTCTGTTAATCTGCAATTACTATTATTACTTTTTAAACAAATGGTTGCAGTTCAAATAGCTGACACATTACTTGTTTTATTACCCCATACCAGTTGATTGGGTAAGTATCTTACTGTGTCATAAATCGTTAGCATATTTAATGGCTCAAAGTAAAAGTTGCTTAAGTGAGGCTATGGAAAATATTACTTAAACTCAATATCATTTAAAGCTATGAAACACCATAAGGTTAAATAAATATGTGTCAAATATTGGCATTGCAAAACGCTAAGATCGGTCGACTTTGTCACATAGACCCCATGCAGCCGACTATTCAAAAATGAGATTTAACGTTAGAATACAACAAATAAAAGATGATATTAACTTAAACATTCTTAGACTTAGAATTAAATGAAACTGGTTTAAGTGAATATATAAAGCCTTCAGTATAGTTGAAACAAATTTTCTTTCGTGTTATTTTTGCAATTATTTGTGAACAAAATTAACGCAAACTTATTTTACAATCGGATAAAGGTTTATTTTTAGAAAATAATAATTTTGCACTTAAACTCTAATTTTGACTATAACGCATAGAAAGAATATAAACATGGAAAACTGAAATTTTACAAAAGGAAATAATAGGAATTAAGTATCTGTTTTAATTATTTCTGTGTACACATTACTGTGAATCATAAAGAAGAAAATTGCATCCCAAACTACTACTCATGTATGCATATAATAATAAATTTGGGTATTTAATAACTAATGATATAGAAAATGTAAGCGAATAAAAGTACCAAGCACTCTTGTTAAATTTACTGCATCTCACCTGTAGCAACAACACACACATCTATATACTCATGTATATGTTTTACAAAACTTGACGGTTATTTAAAGCAGCATTTTCATCTTCAACTCAAAGCAGGAAGTGATAAGACTATAAGAAAAAAAATATATATAAATAGCATACAAACGTATATTGCAAACAGCACTTGCTCCACAGTGAATTATGCGAATAGAGAGGTAAATATGTATATATTCGTATATATATGCATATACACAATTATATAATATATATATATGTAACCACCAGCATATATATTTATATATTTATATATTGGGGCTGTATATATATATATTGGAGATTTGCAACCGCTGAAGCGATTTTCGGCCGAGTTCTTCCTCCAATTTGTGGTTTGCGTCTTGATGTTTCTGAAATAAATGGATGGACCTACAGTTTAATCTAGGCCGTCTCCGAATGGCCGATGAAATTTATGAGTTTATGAGGAGCATTTATTTCATGTCAAAAATACCCCCGGAGGTCGTGAAATTCCCTACCGAGAGCCGACCAAAAATATAAAAATTATTTTTATTATTTTTATTATTTTTATTTATTTATTTAAAAGAGCACCAATTATTAATGATTATTCCACTTACAAACTTATAAAAATTAATTTTGTCTAATTTTTGATGTTGGTTGAACCAGGATTCGAACCCTGACTTTCAAAGGCAGAACGCAATACTATCCATTCAGCTTTTACGGCTGCTTATATATCTACATACAATACTTGTGGATACGACTATGTGTTTATTAAAGCGTACTCAAATGTTTGACTCAAGTTAAAATGGTTTACAGCTTTATTGATTGTTGCATCTCTTTGTTGGCAGGTTAGTAACCACCAGCAGTCACTGGTGGCGCAGCCAGCCAACCAGTTAGTGTTCGTCAGCATTTCTCTAACTTTTGGCTTTTGTGACACTTTTCCTGTTTGCAAATTAAAATCTCATAACCTACTGTTTGCATAAATGAGTACATGAAGGTATGTGCTGTATATTTGGGGTTTGTGTACTCTTAAACATAATGAGTATAAAGCTCATCGTAATACACTTAATACTGAGTATAAATAAATCAAATATAATCAGACTAGATATACATAAATATTTAACAAACCTCTAATGGAGTATCTTTCTAATTTACGGCAATCCAATTTGATAAAATAAAATGTTGGAGAAAAGCATTGATCGTATTCATCATGCGTTGTACTTGTGATATTTTTCATACTCATGATATTTTTTCATAAAAACAAAAAAATGCACAGAACACTAAGTACTCATTTATCAAATATGTAATCTCAACAATCTATTGTATCGTTGCGTGATGACATGTAATTTCTCCTTCTATTCTAACCAAGTAAAATATAGACAAGATCAGCAGTTGCAAATTAAAAAATAAATACTAAGTTATCTCGGAGTTTGGAGTATTTACAATAAATATACATATATGTGTATAAAAACTACGCTTTGTATCCGCTGAAGGGATTTTGGCCGAGGTCCTTCTCTAATTCGAGGTATGAGTCTAGGTGTTTTTGGAGGTACTTACAGTTTGTGGTAAGCCGCCTCCGCACGGCCGATGAATTTTTATGAGCAGCTTTATTTCATGTCGGAAATGCACTCGAAGGGTTTGACATTTCCTGCCGAGGGGCGATCGAAATTAGAAATATAAATTTTCTATAATTCTGGATGTTGGTCGAGCTAGCATTCCATGATAAATATTTATCCAAATTCATTGCAACGTAAATAAGGCTATTATTAAAAAGTGTAAGTTCTTTTGTGGAAAGTAAATAAGTTTTCTTTGTTGTTAACGAAATCAGTTATTTACCAATTAATTTTAGTTTAAAAACTAAGACTGAAAAGAATATTGAGGTATAATTTACATATTATTTAAGTTCCTAAAGAATCTTTAAACAAATTTAGTATTTGCGTTTTATAATTTTTAATTGTTTTGTAAATATTTCAGTTACCGCTTCTCATAGCGCTGCTTTTTGTCTGCACTTTAGCGGATGGCACTAAGTACGATAAATCGGAAAACACCAACGGAAATACAACAGTTATAGAGGCCTCCAGTATAGAAAATGAGAGTAAAAATACTTTGCAGAATAACCTTAATAAGGACAGCTCAATTGTAAACACCACAAAAGTTTTCGAAAAATTAGCAAGCTATCCAAAAAAAGTTCACTCGCTAAAGAAGCGGCCGAGAAAGACTCCCACAGCCCATTCGTCCTTGGCACCAGCGCAAAACACGAAAACGAAACGTAAAAAAGTGACCGATGTGACAGCAGCCTTCAAAGACTTACCCACTGATGATCTGGAATTCATTAAAGAATTAGACCAACAGTTCCAGCTGCATGGCGAGATGATTACAATTAAAGTGGAACACGATAATAGCACAGAAGTGGACAAACAGAATAGCAAACGCACAATAGACGGCGAATTGGGGTGAGTGAGAGTTGCGAGTGTTTAAAAGATTTTAGAATTATTAAGGTTTTTTTTTTAGGTACGGTGCCTATCAAGTTCACAATGGCTATGAGTATATGCGCCCCAAATTCATGTTCTATCCCTATTCACAACACAATATACCTGCCGATGCACCCGGCTATTACCCACCTAAGACAGATATCAGCATTCAGCCATCCTACTCCTATGAATTACAAGCGCAAAGCTATGTACAAGAACAAGCGCATGACGCAGAGCAAACGACAAAAGTACTCGATGTTCCACAGCATGTAAAAGAATCACATGTTGGCAATGAAGAGCCGGTGATTGTTTTGCGCATACCTGGCCCTACTAAGTATGCCTCACACTTGCAGTCACTATTGCAACAGTATTTGGAAATACGCGCCGCGCAATATCTACGCATACTGGAAGAGAGCGAGCTGCAGAATCATCAGAAATACCAAACACAATCACAACAACATTTAGAGTATGAACAGCAAGTGAAAGAGCAGTTATTGCAACACCATCAGCACCAACCGCAACAACAGCAGGAACAACATGTGCAGTTATACGATCAAAAAGCCCATCAACAACACGCTGTAATACCGGAGCATGCACAGGTAGAGCCAACGATTGATTTACAACCACCAATTCATCAAGAACCGGTCGTACATCAACAACAAGCGGACGAAATCGAGCAAGGCTATTCGCCCGAAGTTGCATTTGCGCATCAGGCGGCACCTACGCCGCGTCCGGTTGTTTATCCAGAAATCGATAACATCTATCACGGTTACAAAGGAAAATCGCATGCCGCAGCTCCACAACAACAACATGAACTTCAACAGCCACAGCACGTAAAATACGCACCACAGCACCAAGAAGAAGAGACGTTGCCTCAACATCATCAGCGTGAGCAAGGGTATTTTGTTCCTGCACCACAACAACCAGCAGCCGTACAACAATTCTATTATACACCGCATGCGCAATTTGGTATACAAGATACTCAGCATTATCAAAATGTGTACTTCATGGCATTAGCGCCGCAGTCTGCCACCTATCAAGGACACAGCACACATGCTGCACATGGTGCTACGCTGCAGAACCAGCCCATATACGTACAAGAAGAAGAAATAGGACGAGGATTGGAACAGCAGCAGCATGAACATAAGCAGAACGAGCTAGTAGTGTCGCATGCCACTGTTGGCGCACTCGCTGAGAATAATCCGCGTCAAACGCATACCAAAGTCATTTATACGCATAATAGCGAGAAAGGTGCTGCAGATTACGCTGGCAGCTATACGTTGCCTTCAATACGACCATATGAGCGGCATTCAGCAGCCTACCATCAGCAACAGCTGCTCTACGATCAACAACAACAAAACGAGCATTTACGACAAGAACAACAAGGGCAACAATTTCTGGAACAGCAACAGTTTGACTCTGAACCGTCGCAACCATACGTTTCTTCTGAGCACGAGCAGCGTTCGGCTGCCATCAAGCCGCAGCCATTTAACTATCATGCACACAAAACCAATCGTCGCGTTAATCGTAAACGCGGAGCGCCCGCACTAAAAGCCACCACAGCGACCACAACCGACGTGCAGGTGGATGAACATTTGCAGAAGATACGTGATTTTGTGCGAGAAAATTTGGGCGCTCAAATGAGTACGGCGGTTGAGTTTAAGACGACAGCGGTGGTAGAAAGTTAAATGGGAGATGAAGTATGCCAAAAGGGCATCGACTATTAAATAATTCTAAACAATGATATTATATTTTCTCTATAAAAATTAAGAGTGATTTTTATCTTCCCATGACTTAACAGTTATTAGATTAGTATCTTGTGTGCTCTTTTCTCTTACTTTTCTGCTTTTACTTTAGTACCACTTTAATTATATGCGTTTTAATTGTTATGTGTAAAAAGTCATTTTATTTTAATATCTTTTAATTACCACTTGTTTCGCTATTTGTACATTTTTTTAATTAAGGCTAAATTTTGTTTTTAAAACAAAGCGTATTACATGTGTGCAATACTTAGTATTTAAGATATAAGAAAACTATTTTTTATACTATGCTCAATAAAAATTATCAAAGTATTTCGTTTTAATTTTTAAGACTCTTGCCATCCTTTCTCATTTTTTTTTTTCGAATTAAACATATTAGATTTGATTAAACGAAAGGTGAAGTGTGTAAAAAGGTATTGTGTGTAAAACTGTTTATTCGACTAATAGTGCCAAATACATACAGCATAATGATCTATAAAACTATTGTGAATAGTACAATAATGACATGCGAATTGGCACAAAAACTAGCTAAAAGGTAGATATGGTTTTGATCACACCTCCATAGTGTGATAACTTGCCTATCCCCAGGATCCTAATATAAGGTTAAATGGTTACGATGAGCTGTATAATTGTTATTTTGAATAAGATATCCATGCAGTTCTTGAATTCAACAATTATACACCAAAAAAGCTCGCCGAAAGCGAAATATGTGTGACGTTCCAGGAAATATAACCAGCAGGTTTTACGTTATAATTTCCGTTTACTTTTAATAAGCGCCTAAAATTGTGCCAACCACTTTTATGACTCGATATGATAATTTCTATGGACGTTTCATTTTCACGCATTTGCGCAATGAGGTTTCATGATAGTGCATGTGCTGCATATTTATTGCTAATCATTATTTCTCTTACATCAAATCACAACTGATTTAAGTAAATTGGGGCACTTGTTATTATTATGTAATTGGCGCTTTCTTGCCGCTGAAGCGATTTTCACCCGAGTTCCTTCTCCAATTTGTGGTATGCTTCTTAATGTTTTTCCAAAAAATTTAGGTATTGCAGTTCATTTTAACAGGCCTATTCTGTCGAGGTAACACAATTTAGTTTGGTATTAAAATTTACCATTCAGTAAAATTTGTTACTATTTTGTATTCTGAGTTCACTGTCACCTTGTAAGTTTTGTTACCAGCGATATAGGAGCTAACAAACAATCAGCTGTTCGATTTTGTGTTGTTAATTTGTGAAAAAATTAAAAACCAAACCATATTTTCCGTCTGGAATTAATTAAAGATGAAGAAAAAAGGGCAAGAAGGCGCATTTTAGGAAGTTTGCGAGAAACAAATGACCATTGTAATTTATCATTCAGTATTTTCGCCTCAATAAAACAATTTGTTTAGATCTTATAAACGAATATGGTGCCACGTCAAGGGAGTAGATATTCATTTTCAAATGTTATTTTTAAATCACAATTTTTTAGTCACAAGACATCGTTGCCGTTTTATAAATGAATATTCTTCTTTTTACTTTACCAACAGGCAAATGTAACTGACGATGGATTTTTATAAGAAGATTTTATTTTATGTCAGAAACACACTCGGAGGGCTAAACTTTCCCTGCCGAGGGGTGACTGCAATATAAATACTTCTCAAAAGTATAAAAATTGTAATAAAAACTGTGATTATCGAAAATTTTTGTGGAATGCGCGTAGTCAAAACGAAATTCGACAACATTTAGTAACATATTTCTAATTTCCCGAACTGAAATATTTCTTACTTGTTTTCTTATTATGCCATTTGTAATTGCTTTTATTTATATGCACTTGCACGGAAATACAGTTTTTATTTTGAATACGCTTTTCTTTTATGCAATGCACCTGTGCTTGCACGTTGCCAAAATGTCTACACTTATTGACTATACGCTGGTTTAAAATGCCAACGGTGAAGTTGGCGTTCAATTATGTACACATGCGTGTTAGCATTTATAGTGGCATTTATTATTTGTTGAATGAACATAATCCATGCATATTTCATTCGATTGAAATCAATTTTGGAAATCATATTAGGTATAGTGCAGCTGAGAAGGCGTTTTCATGTAGAAGACGACTTTGTGTTAATTTTATCTTTTGTGATTTGTGGCTTTCACATGGCGTATGAGCGATATTTATTTCCGCTTCGAATGTTATTACGGCCCAATTGCAAATTCGTATAACACAATGCTTCACACAATGCTTTATATCACAACAATTAGCTCATTAGTTATCTCATTTATCTGGTAAAACGGGATTTTTATCGCGATCCCTGCCTAAAGAAGTTTGGTAACACATCCACGGATTCTAACAAAGCAATATGTAATTTTTTTGCTTTCCGATTATAGAAAGCCCATATTAGCATTAAGCTATTTCCTGGTACGACCAATATCCAAAAGTTATAGAAAATTAATTTAAATAAATAGTTAAGTTAATTTTTCTGATTGCGGTCGCCCCTCGGCAGGCAATGTGAAGCTCTCCGAGTGTATTTATGACATTAAATAACAGCTCCTCATAAAAACCATCAGTCTTTCGGAGGCGGCTTAGTATAAACTGTAGACCCCTCCATTTATTGGAAAAACATCAAGGCGCATACCACAAATTGGAGTAGGAGCTTGGCCGGAAATCGCTTTAGCAAATGTGCAAATATGCTTCAAAAGTTGACAAGATAGTTTCTAACAAAAATAGTATTTTCGGGCCATTATCAGTTATTTTGACCTATGTTATGTTTTCTTTAAGGATACATCTTCTCAATGTTTAGGTGAATTTGCCTGTAATAATCCGAATGTAGAATTGCAAGATTATTCACGAGTGTAATCTAAAAGTGGGCGATATACCGATTCAAAATAAAAAAAAAACACTCACATACCAATCTGCCACAAAAAGCGTTATTCGTAAAATTTGAAGAAACCTTAACAAGTAAAGAAGATGAATAGAGTTCTAGCTTGAGAAGTAACTGAATCATAACAATTTTTTTTGATTTGATCGTTGTCGCTTGTTATTCAAAGAATACCTGTTCAAAATTTGGTCACCATACACGACGACTATACTGTTCAGTTTCATACTAAATATATGCACATAAGTATATCCCGTCACAAGCTATCGTTAGCGTAACAAACAAACAATACTATGAGTATCATGGGGCTGGGTATAAAAGGTCCGACCACTGATTGTCTTGATTATCAATGTTAGCTCGCTGTTACCTGACGCTTTTTCCATTGTTGTTGTTATACCATGCCAGCTTTTCATGGCCGCTGATTCGGAGCATTGTAATTAGTTTAACACATAGTTACGTAGCCGCTACCTTGCAGTACGAAACACATTGTAAAGCATAGCCTGAACACTTTATGCGGATAAAACGTTAGCTTACAACACTATTTTCTAAGTAGCTTTGTACCCTCTTTTTTGGGTTGTTGTTCTTTTTTATACGAGCCTACTTCCTTCAGCCTGGAGTAGTTTGTGGCAAAGCAGCTTTTTAGTATGTACTTAGCTCGCTTATATGATTGGTGTGAATTTCTATTTATTTCTCTTTTTCGTTTTGTTTTTTTATATTTTAAGTCATTTTTTTTTAGGAATTTCTATTACACATTGTTTACGTTCAGCGCACATTTGAGTTATATAATTTATGCATGCGAGTGTGTACTTCAGTTGAAATTTCAATTAATTTTTCTTAATTAATGCATATTAAAATAGTTTAAATTTTATTTGAATTTGATTTATTGATGATAAGTAGTAATATTTAATCTAAGATCGCTTACAGATTTACATTTGGTATGTAATAATTGGAGTTCAGTGGCTATTTTGTACATTGAACCCACTGTTGTTGAAAGAACATTTTACCATCGCGGCAAAGTAGCCTTAACAAAGCCAATGGTTCAACTCAATTAACTACTCGATTGAGACAGTAGTAGAGAGTGAATTAATTATATGCTCATATTTCGTGAGATCCGCTCTATCAACCAATCTTTGTTTCAACCTCAAACAATAAACATAATTCTTTTAAGGTACGAGATATAGAAGCTTTACTTACTAGTGCATTTTAGCAAATTCGTAGAAATATTAAAAATAATATTATTTATTACAAACAAGTTTATAATTTCTTCCATATGGTGTACATTTCACTACAATTGCTGACACGTAGGAGTAATTACTCATGTATACATATATAAAGCTACCGACTTTTGCAATAAGCCAGACAGTAAAGAGGTTGTTGCACCAAAAAAACTGTGGTAGCAACCCGTATGTAGATGAATAGCAACAAACCGTATATAAATATAATTTGCAATGTAACAATACAATATAAAAACAAAAATAAAAACAATGTTTCTTTAATATTATTTATGAGTCTGTAAAAGCTTGGATCCAAAAAAAAAAGGTATGCCTTGGAGGCAGAAATGAACGTTTTTCTGGTTAATTTTATTAGTTTTGCTTCTTTTCTTCGAAATATTAATTTTACCTTTACTTATTTCTGTTAAAATTTGCATAAATTTTATTATGTACGGCATGTGGCGAGTGGCGTATATGTGGTATTCGGTATTCGATTCGCTCTACTTACATAAATATGCTCCTATATATGAGTGGCTATGAAATAATTAGGCTTTTTACTCGGGCTAACATCTCTACCTATGAGTACATATGTATATGACAATCTTTTTTCATGATCTTGAAATTGCAGGAAATATTGTGATAATAGTTATTCCCTTCACGAAAATATCTCTTTATAAAAGGGGGAAATTGAAATTTCAGTTCATGATACATAAGAGAGAAGATTATCTTAATTTCTAATGCAGCAAAAAAGAATGCCCCCATGTAATAAAAGCTTCTCATAAAACTCCATCAGCCATTCAATGACGGCTTCGAATAAACTATATATAAATTGGAGCAGGAGCTGGGAAGAAAATTGTATGTATCGAATGAAATGAAAAACATACAACGTCTTGGAAAAGTCTGACTCCACAATATACGCCGCTTGCCTTGAAAGGTAACTTTCAACGTGGTCCATAATGCTGTTAGCTCTATGATCTTTACTGGAGAGTCTCTCTGAGCTCGAAGTATATCGTATCGGTTTATAAACAGGGTAGGTCGGTATCAATCACTATCTCATGGGTATATTAACTACAATGTTAACATCGGTAACTTAGTGCCACCAATCTGCAGAAATAAAACCAGAGTCAAATAGTGGAAATAATTTAAACCCGGCTCGCATCATAGGCAAACGTCAAATGTCGGCTCCCTAATGAGAGTGGCTTTGAGTAATTTATGTTCGTCGGTATCAATCACTATCTCATGGGTATATTAACTACAATGTTAACATCGGTAACTTAGTGCCACCAAGCTGCAGAAATAAAACCAGAGTCAAATAGTGGAAATAATTTAAGCCCGGCTCGCATCATAGGCAAACGTCAAATGTCGGCTCCCTAATGAGAGTGGCTTTGAGTAATTTATGTCAAAAATGTCTACTCTACTTTGACTTTTCTTTTTTTTTTTCTCAAAAATAAATAAATTTTCTTCTTCAAAAAATTTTGCATACGTCACTTACAAACTCAACCGATTGCCAACATTTTTTTGAGTTAACACCTCTCTCTCAGCAAATAATGTCACGTAGTATTTGCAGCTTTTAAATGAATTAACAAGCTTACGAATAGATTCTTATTTTGCCAAACAATCGTTACATTGTACAATATATGTATAATACAGCATATAATGGACACTTATCAGAAATCAGAAATCAAGCCAACAATCGCACTCCCACAGACTTTGGCAATTGACGTTTTACAGCTGTCATGAACATGATGATAGTTACCATGACACTGACGTTTAACCGTTATATATTGTACTACTGACAAATGCGTCATCATTATGTATGAAATGTACTCAGCAGGTGAATTAGTTAAGCATTTGAGACGCAGAGCAGTCGTGCGGAATTTTTGTTCATAGCTAAATAAAAAATACAACTTTCGAAAAATGGAATCGCTTGAAAATAATCATTGTGCATGAAAATATAAAATGGAATTTTTGTTTGGCAACAATTTTCTAGATTTTGTTGGAAAAAAGACCTCCCTGTAAATATGAGAAAAACATTGATTCAAACACTTCATTATTCTGTCTTTTCATCATCAGGAACAATTCGAGGTCTTTGATACCAGTCAAAGTAACTCCTAAGCAACGCCATCGCAAAATGCGAAATACCGGGGCATAAGTGTATGCTTAGGACTAACATTTTCGTCTGGATGGCATATCTTCCTAACCATCCCAGACTAGAAAATGAATTACTTCCTCAGAGGTAGTGAATGGATGGGACAAACAGGGAAAAATAAAGTGGTATCCAGATCTCAAGCCAATTCCAAACAACCAACGCCGCTCTCTCACTTAACACCTCTTACTGCAAAATGTTGTGTATAAATCGTGAAATTAAGGAATCACGAGCGCTTAGCTTAACTATACTCGTGTTATTTTTTATTTAACATCTGGAAGAGTATTTTTTGAGGTCAAGTACAAGTTCACACCATTCTTATAAGATATAAGCTACCACATTTCTGTTCGGTTATGTAGTTTTACTTTTTGACAAACTATTACAATCAAGTATTTCGAGTTTTTTTAGCCTCCTTCATTTTATTTCTCATTACAAACATTTTTACTTTGCTCCATTCAGTCCACCAGCTAGTCCTGCCAAGTGACTACGACGTTACAATGCTTGAAAAGCTGCCAAATGACCAACAAAGCATCAGTGTGTATATGTATTTCTATGTACAATCGGCTCTAGCTTACAGTCGATCGGACGCCAACCCGCCTGGCACCTCAGACGATCGGCAACGAAATTTTTAATATAAAAGCCAGCGGACGAAATAGCACCAACACTAATTTATTTTGTACCGTTAAACCGTGAAATCTAGCGATATGTGCGCACAAAATATAAGATACTATTATTATTTAATAACATTGTTGATTGTAAGTAGAAGCACCTGGTACTCAGCTGAGTTGTATTGGATATATTAAGATTAACAGTGAAGTGGAAATTTGAAATATGAGTGCTAAAGATTACTTCTGCTGAAGTTTGTTTTAAGTGTATTCAAAAGGAATGTGGAATAAATTATTTTGAAAGAAAAAAAATCAAAAATGATAGTGAACAACTGAAAATGAAAATGACAAGAGTTATTCTCAAAGGAAGCAAGTGGGTTGTGCAACTTTATTTCCAAGAACTTCTTAGTCACACAAGCTGTATAAAAAACATAATGAAATAAATTTATCAAAATCAATCCATCACACAATGTACATTTTTGGAATCGATATATAATAATTTTTTTAATATAAGTATTAAGTAAACTACGAGGCCTGGTTATTTGTATGAATTTAATATTTTTTATACAACAAAGAAAAATGGTAGAAGTGACAGCTGTTTCGGAGATCACCACATCTCCTCATCAGACTTCTTATGGCAGGGATCGATCCAACGGATCCTGACTTAACCGGCGAGTGTTCTACCACTGCGCCAACATCAGAAGAAGTCTGTTGATGAGATGTGGTGATCTCTCCGAAATACTCGATGAGACTTCTGCTAGTGATAATAATTCGAGAAATAAAACCGAAATTCGATGTGTTAATAATAGATTTAAGTTTAAATCCTACTTTATAAGTGTGCACGTATTTTAGCTCTGTTTGGATTGACGAGCATACATATCTCTAGAAATATGTGTACGTATGGACGGCAAAAGCAACAACCTTATTATGTTCAGATAATTTATTAACTGGTAGGCCGTGAAGCCGAATGGTTAACAGTCATTCGGAAGGTCAGGGCTCAAGTTCTGGCCAAACCAAGCTATCAATAATTATAGAAAATTTATTTAAATAAAAAATTAAGTTAATCTTTCGAATTGAGGTTGTAAAATGATTTTCACAGCATTTGAGCCTTAAATGTAAACAATGTTAAGTATCTTAAAAAAATCGAATCAAATCACAATACATATCATCATATCATTTTAGTTACTATATGTTTTCAAAGTTTCTGCATTTTCAGTATTGTCACCCCTAGATAAATTATCCAGTCGTGCTAGTAATTAAAATGATGTGAACGAACCGTGCATGGTGCTTGCAAGTGCATATGTGTTTTAACAGTTCCATATATATATATATACCTGCACATGCATCGCTGTGCCTTCCTCATGCATTGGTGCATGTAAAAACGCTGCCAAAAAGAAAGCGAAAGTACGCTACGTTACAATTCCTCGCCAACTTTTGCTGCAGTTTGGCGCTATTTAATACATACACTTTTTAGTTTTTATTTCTTTTAATTTTATTTTGATAATTGTATATACATATGTATGTACATTATTTGGTATCGTGTTTCTTTGCCAATATACGTTGCACTTGCAACTATTGTACATACGTATATATTCGTACATACAAAAACAATCACCGTTTATAGTCGTTATGATAGATGATTGGGAAAAAGTTTATATTTAGTATATAGAAAAGTCAATAACATTGAGGCATGCACGTCTTATGTTGATTCATAAGTAGTTTTTAATTGTGTATGGGTACATACATAAGTGCAAATCATTTGAACTTGGCGGAATCGATTTGAGCTCATGGTCGTATACGGTGTAATGATAGAAAAATGAGGCATGTTGCTTACCAATATTTGTGAGATAATAAGCTGGTGCATTCCCACATTGATATAATCTGTGATGGACGTTTGTTTTCCTTTTGAGGATTTGAGGAAGAAGTATATATACATGTGGGTGTGTGCATTATTTGTTTTTGTTGTTTTGTCTGTGATGGACGTTTGTTTTCCTTTTGAGGATTTGAGGAAGAAGTATATATACATGTGGGTGTGTGCATTATTTGTTTTTGTTGAGATCACTTTCTCTTTTTGCTTTTTTCATTTATATTCACGTTTCATAATTTCATAAGGAACAATCTAAGACATTTAACATTTTAATAAAACTAATATACTTCTATTTTTTTCCAGCTCTTAGCATTGTGTCACTCAACCGAGTCGCAAAACAATGGCCGTTCCAGTAGACGTAGACCAACAGTGAGTAGCATCAAAGCAAACATCGAAGAAGTGACTGAAAAGTCTGAGGCAGCAGCAGACCAAATAGCTCTTGCCGCTAGCCATACGGAAAAGAATCTGCAAAGACGCGGTGGTGCCTACGCAACTGAAGGACAAGGTACTTTAAAGGAAAAGAGCAATTTTGTGAAGATGATGTAAGTTCAGAAAAATATAAAATAAGAAAACTCGTTTCTTCCAGATTATCCTTATGACAATTTGGAAATAAACCTTGTCCGACCCGAGAGGGACCCCGTGCACACGCAAATTACAGCCAAGTATACGGCAAGCTTAGGTGCAGGTGGTCCCTATGATTCGGGGTCGCTGGAAGATTCTGAAACCGCTGAGGAGTATGTCGCTAATGCAATGAAAATGCAACGTTATGGTAGTCGTCTACGCGAGCCAATACGAATACTCTCCACGGAGAATGCCATTCAGGCTGGATCCAAGACACCGTCGAAACATGTTGAGGACCCTGGAGATAATGAAAGGGAGGTACCGTCATCAGTCAATAACAAATATGAATACTACAACCCACAACAACAAAAACAACAACAAACACAACAGCAACAAAACCAACAAACGCAACCACAATTATCGTCTCGTCTAGAAAACAATCACAAAGTCATATTAGAGAGTCAAATACATGCTCAGTTGCAGGCGCAGATCCAGCAAGCACAACAGCAAGCTGAAAGCCAGCAGCAGCAACAGCAGCAACTTGGCGTGGCAGCTGATAATGGTCAAGCATCGGGTCCAAATAACGAGGTAGCACAAGTGACGGCATCTGCTTACAATAGAGACCCGGTTACGCGTTCCTACCAGGTGTACGATGACAGCATCAATGCATATGAAGCAAATATAGGCGCTGCCGGAGGCGCTTCTGATGGAGTTATTGATGGAGATGGCGTCGATCGGCATTATCGCACAAAATATCTCTTTCAACCATCATATCAAGGTGTAAGCGTAGCGCCAGCGGAGTTAGAACCGGAGGAACTACGCATATCTGCTTCGACTGAAATACCAAAAGCGGAGATAATGAAACAAATCGAGAAGTCAGTCATGAAGTACATGAAGGAACTGGAAGCGGAGGGTAAGATAGTCACATCGCCACAAGAATCGAAATCGTACTATAAAATGCTTCCGGTTCCAGCTGAAGAGAAACATATTAGCTCGACAACAGTGCGCCCCAAATATCCAACTGTTACACCAGCCCACATTTCGCTCTACGGAGCCGGTAGCGAAAGTGGTGGCGTGCCATCACCAGCAGCGCACCGCTCAACTGCTCAGGCCAGCGTTTCTGGTTACAGCAACGCAGCTCGCCATCACGTTCCCAAACATCAGCTCAAGCCGGCACAACGCTATCAGTCAGAAACTGAAGCGGCTTACCGCGCACAAGCTAACGCTGCACACCAACAGAAGTCACATGAAACGAGCGAAGTACTTGCGCCGAATGTCGAGTTTGTCTATAAAATAAAAACAAGGGCACCGCTACAAACGGCTACGGTGAAAACGATTTCAAAACCTTATACACTACCACTCAAAGGCGTTCTCGATCAGTTCGATCATACTGCTGCGCTGAAGCACCTCGAAGATTTCGACCTTTCGCATGTCGTCACCACGCAGGAGCCCGATGAGCGTCCTTCTTCATTAAGTGCCAGTGTTACAAGTAAACCAAATAAACTTTACTTTAATTCTGAAATCTACCACGACATAAACTCATTGCCTTTCAAATCGGAAAAATCTCGTACGTTATCCGCATCTTCTGCGGCAGCTGAATATCGTAAATTAAAAGCGAGCACCGGTGAGATGAGTGCCGACTATAAAGGATACTCTGGTTACTTTGCTGAACCTTCACCACCACAAGCGGAAGCATCCGATGAGAAAGACCCGAATGCTGGAGCGAACGTGCAGGTTTCTGAAGATGGCTATCCTGTAATGAATCCGTATCAGTATGTATTGAAGAAAGAACCACTACCAAGCAGATATGAGGAGCCAAGCAGCAGTTGGGTTGAGACGCACGCTAAGCCTATTTACACAGCGCTCTCGGCATCTCAAAAGGGCTTGGAGTATGATAGTTATAGTCCGAAATTCAATAACAATCCTGAGGGCTATGGTTATCAACACTCACACAAAGTAGAGCGTGAGCGTGAGCGCGAGCGCGAGAGAGAACCTCGTGAACCAAATAAGTACGCAATAAGTCGCTTGCCAAGTGGCGGCAGTAGCAAACGCGGCAAGCGCGGTGGCGGTTTGCCTTATCCCAATTTAAATAAAAAGAGTCAACGCAACACAGCAGTGAAGGATATCGAGGCTAACTTGGCGCTGCGTCCGCCTCCGAAAAATTAACCTGTTCGATTTTAACATAGACATTTATATTGTTAAAAAGGCGAAACTGTAACAAGTTTGGTTGATTCGGCTTTAGCGTATTCGCTATATTTGAGTTTAATATTTTTTTTTCTACGACGACGTTGCATGCCCGCCTGAGTTTATGCACTTCCATATTACACATAACAAAATATGCCAATTTTCAAATGCAATATTAGTTTAAGTATTCATAATGCTATTTATATACATATATATGTTTAAATTCTTGTATTTATTTACATGTTTAATAAAGTTTGGAAAATGTTTGTTAAATATATTGTAACTTATAATGCTTAACAAATCTAAACGGCTGATTATGATCCTAAAGGTTTGAAATGTTTGGAAAAATACTCATCGTTTCTAACAAATATTTTTTTTTACCAAATTTTCTCGTATTTGACATCTCTCATATGAATTTCAAATGCATAAGTTCGAAGTATATTTGTTTTCGTAAATACTAACTAAGAAGATGTGATATTAACTATTTATAGCTGTGGTTTTCATTCGATTTTAAGCCTTGCTCTGATGATATTTTCAAAAAATGAACACCACCACCCTCCTTTTCAGAATAATTGATTACCTACTACTGGGTGTGGTAGTGGTCAAATTTCATCTATTTATTGTACAAACCCACTTTGGGTCCCAAGGAAAACGTGTATAAACTCGTTTTTCCATTTATTCCTTTGTTGTGCTGAATTAATGCATCTTGTCTACACAATACTATTAATTATATAATATAAATGATAAAACAATTGAAATTTTGCTTGTTGCTAATAAAAGTTATTTTTAAATGCTGAAAAACTTAAAGGCAGGAAGTATCGTTCCGCATAAAATTCTGCTTTAATATATAGATTATACTCTATCGTGTTACGTTAGTATTACTATGAAGTTCACACGCTCCGTTAGTTATAAGCAAAAATATAGTATAAGTTGAAGGAAAATAACACATGATTGATAAGAAAATATGTAATATAAATATATAGTGGAAATTATTAAAAGATGAATATTTTTAGTTTATATCGCGGTTTCGCTAAAAACATATACACACACACATGGAAATTTAGTCTACAAACAATTCTCTTATATAAAATGAATTTTTCTTAGAACCGGAGTTTTAGTATTTCAGTTGAGCTATAGAAAATAGTATCCTTTTTGCAGAAAAATGTCTCTTAGTGTTGCAAGTGGTCTAAAACCAACTAATGTACGCAACGATGTCCTTCACAACTGGGAACTTATGCAAAATGTGTATAAGCTATATAACGAACAGAAATACACAGATATTTTATTTGAATTTCTTCTCACGAGTTATACGTAAGTCTGCAGTATTTTACTTTTCTTATTTCTGTTCTTCTATTCTTTTCATAGTCTTTCAGCTCATCGCCTAATTCTCGCCGCTGCCAGTTCCTATTTTAAGGATATCTTCGATAATATTGAACCGGACTGTAACTACATGACAGTAACTGAAATAGACAGTGATACTTTTGAACAATTAGTTGTTTACTGTTATAATGGGCAGACTGATATTACGGCCGGTAACACAGAGCGTATGATTAAGGGTGCTATGCTATTGCGTCTATATGACGTGGTTGACACTTGTGTGAACTATGCGATGGATCATATAAATGATTTCTTACTGCGGAAGTTAATTTTGTTGGAAGCTGAAATACGATATAAACCATTTGAAGTTCGTTTACTCGCTTATATTGTGCAGAACTTCAAGAAGGCAAGTGTCTGAGTGTACACTCATATACGAGCATGCTGATTATATCGATTGAATTTAATTCTTATAAGCACATTTTATCTTTCCAGTTTAATCGAAGTGAAGATATGGTCAATATTAATATCGAACAATGGAAAGTTATTATAGAGAAAGTAGATGCAAATATAGTATCGCAAGAGGATCTCTTTTGGACTATTGTGCTCTGGTATGAATACAATACTGCCGACCGAGAAAAGGATTTACCTATTTTATTAAGCTCACTAAGGCTTACCGAGTTCGATACTCAGTTTATTTTAACGCAAATTAAGACATTACCCGGTTGTGAGCGTTTGGCAATTGAGACGCTCAAAAAACGAGAAAGCCTACTTACCTGGATGGCTGTACAAAATTGGGGAGAGGTGAGGGAAAACTAAATTATTATTGAAAAAGAACTTCCTGAAAAACGCATATTTCTTATTAACACGTCTTTAGGACTGGCTAGGTTTTAAGGATATTCTACGTTACAATCAAGCCAAAGAAGTCTGGGAGAAAGTGAAACGTTTAGAAATAAAAAGATATATCTTCAGCACAGCTTTCATAGATAATAGTCTCATTTTCATTGGAGGTCGCAATAGGGATGGACCAAGCAAAGATGTAGTCAGCTACAACTTGATAAACAAAACCTGGACAACAATGCCATCAATGCAAGAAAATCGAAATAGTGTTTGCGTTACAGTCTTAAATAATTACTTGTACGCTATAGGTGGGAAAGATAAGAAGGGCAATGTGTTGGGCAGTGTAGAGCGGTAAGAGTGCGAAGTGGGAATTCAAAGGCGGAGGTGATCTAATACCTTTCTTCAACCTTGTATTGCAGCTTCAGTTCATTAACAGGGCATTGGCAATTGGTAGCCAGCATGTCTACACCTCGCTCTGATGCTGGTATTGCAATTTTGAATGGTGATATCTATATAGTTGGTGGTAAAACGAACGTGCCTGTAAAAACAGTAGAGCGTTATAATGTGACCGAAAATTCTTGGCTCACATGTAGCTCCATGTCAGATGCACGAGAAAGTCCAGCTGTAAGTTTCTAGTATTGTTTAAGTATGATTTTTAAGATGGAAATGGAGTACATATACAAATACTAGATTAAATACTTTGACTGACTATTGAAATATTGCTCTCTTCATAGGTTGTTGCACATCAAGGCTATATTTATGCCCTGAGTGGCCGTTACGCAGATTTGAAAACAGTCGAACGCTACAATTCAGAACGAGACGAATGGACTAAGGTTTAATTTTAACCTAAATTTATGTACATGTAATATATTTTTTATTATCTTAGATTGCTTCTTTGAATGTTGGACGTCGATATATTTGTGTCGCCTCTATAGGTAATCAACTTTGGGCTTTTGGTGGTGTAATTGGTCCAGCTCAGTGGGATGATACGGTCGAGGTTTATGATATGGCAAAGGATAAATGGCTCGTAAAGCAAAAATTGCCTGCAACAGGAAAATTTAGTTGTGTATCGGTACCAACAAAGTTAGTAGAAAATCTTGTGTAATCCAAAGAATAACTAAAATTTTTAAGAATTCAAATGTACATACACAATACTAGAAAATATAATAATAGTTGAAAGCCACCAATACACAACAAAATAATTAGGCAATAAAAATTCACACCTGTTTTATGAACCTTTGTAACTTTTTTTTTTTTTTTTGTTTTTTATTCATTCATTCAGTTCTTAACGCAAATCAATTGACGTAAATTCCATTTTTTCATACACATATCTCCACACAAATTACAATACAAGGGCCACCTATGAGGTCGCTCCACCATTAATAAAAAAAATTGACATTTAAATTAAAATAAAAAAAATTTCCTAACACTTATATACATATATACATGCACGTACTTATGCATGAATGTATAAAGAAACCAAGCACAGCTACCAATCTAATAGTACTAAAAAGTAATATATTACATTATCTGCTTCAAAAGTTTTCCAGGCTTTTCTTCGAACTATGCACAATTTTCATTATTACTTTCTCTCTCCATCGGGTTTTAGCAATTCGTTCTGCACTTATTCGTGATGATAGTGTTCATAGTGCTCTAGATGGGGTTCGTGATGCTCGATTTCATGATGACCATGTTCGTGGAAATGAGATTCGCTCTCTTCTTCCAAAACCAAGCCATGATTGTGGCTGTGCTCTGTTTCGGGATGTAAAATCTTTAATTTCTGTTTTGTACCACCAATTTCGATAGGATTTTTTAGCAGATGTTTGTCCTTCACATAGACGGGCACAGGGTGGTAATGATGAAATTTGACACTTTGATGTGAAGTGGCATGTTTGTGTTCGACTTCGTGATGGTGTTCCGATTCTTCGGGTTCCTTATGATGTTCGTATTCGTGATGTTCGAAGTCGTGGATTTTCAAGCTGGATGCTAAACTTAACAAAAGTGCAGTGCAGAATAACTAAAAGGTAAAAGAAAACACAGTACTTTCCATTTTACATTTTTAGCACAAAAATTAATTAATTAAATTCACCTAATAGTGTTTAATAACATTTTAAAGTTAAGCTTTAAACCTAAAATATTGAGTTTATGAAAAACTTACTTACATTTTTTTGACACAATAATATCAATCCAAAATTATAAGTTATTTGATATAAAAGGTTGGCAACTAATAAACTATCTAAGAATTTTGATATTTAAATCTTAATCTTTCCAAACAAAAACTACCAAAAAAATTGAGATTTTTAATAATATTTATTATTTATACTTTAACATTATTATTCGTTTTTAAAGATTTTGTTTCCTTTAAGTATGTACGCTAAATTAAATTGAGTCAAAGCCATTTTAAAAATACAAATGTTCTTTTAAAAAATACATATGTATTTAATATTATGGTTCCCATGGCAAGCGGCGACTTGATATTGAAAATACTTTCTCAAATGATATATGTATGTAAGCTACATTTAATATGTGTTTAAAAAATAAATAAATTAAATTTAAATGATAGAAAAGGACGGAATACAAAATAATTATTTTAAAAGCGAATAGTTTTATTATTGACTGTGGAATTTACGATTCAAATAAGTAATTGTACGCTCCGAAGTTAATATTTTATAAAACAAAAAGTTTCCTTACAATAAATTTCAACATTTTCCTGGAACGTCGTGTAAAACGGAAAATTAGAAACGAACGACAACAATACACCAACACGTGCTTGTAATAACCGGACACACGTAAACCAAATTAATCGAGTCTACTGAAACACGCTACCCAAGGAGGAAACGCTATATTTTTCCTCCACTGTTTTTAGGATTTTTATATTTATTTGTATATAATTATTTTCTTCACAACACAACTGACGAAACGGTGTTACTCGCTGCACCTAAACGTACTGAATGTGTCCAATATGCGCTTACCAGATTCGATTTATACCATTTGGCATGTGCTGCTGAGCCACAGTTAAACACCTAATAGTATAAGCTATGGCATCAACAACAATAACACCACTACATATGTAAGTGATAATAAAAGAAAATGCGCGCTAACGAACGGGTATAAAGGCACAGCGACCGGGCCCGGTTTTCGTTTAACGGTGATGGTGACAGCGACGATAATAACAAATGAAAAGTGTAAGTTTTAGAAAAACATAAAAGCACAGCTACAATAGCTGTAAGAGAGGTTATTGCAGGTAGACGATTCCATATGCACGTATCTACGTCTATACATATGCGTAAAGCTAACGAACTTGTTGCGCTAAAATTTTCCTGGCCAATTTCCTTTTCTTTTATTTAAATTTTTATGTGATTGTTTCATTTTTATTTGTTACAACTACTTTCTCATACTTTACAAAACATGTAATACCCATCATGAAATAAATAAAAAATAACAATATTTATCCAGGATTTCGTAGTCAGATTTCTTGCTTATAAAAAAAGTTAGCTTACATTAAGGGGCATAAAAAAGGCTACAAGACTGTTACGTTATCGAAAACCAGATAAGGAAAAAGTGGATGTTAATATGCAGTATAATTTTTTTTGCCCGAAAAGGGAGCAGATACTTTTTATACATAAATAACTGTTGAGTTAAATCTATAAATATTTATATTCCTTAAAATATGTGCTTAAAGGGTATCCAACTCTCACTTCCTTCTTTGCTCTTCGTTAAAATTAAACTTATAATTCCACATCAATTGTTACGCATACGTACTGTAACAGGTCACCATCTCCAACAAAGTCAAAAAAGGCTGCCTGCATATGTACATATACTCTTATGTATATATCCATGCATATTGCTTTTACATGAAATGACCAAATAGCGGTAGTGGTGATATAAAAACGTTGACAATGAAACAATCGAAACATCTTTTTGTGGCTGGATGAATGGCAATGACAGTTAAAACCAACTTTACGATTGAGAGAACCACAACAACGGTTTCAATCACCGGGAAAATCGTCAAACAGTGAAAAGTTGATTTTCGGTAGAAAAAGAGGAAAATAGAAAAAATTAACAAACTTACGAAGCATGTACTGATACTGTGTTATTTGGCTTGGTTCAAAAAGTACGCAACTACATGTAATTCAGATATGCAGTATCTGAAGAGGAAACAGAAACTTTACGATTTTTGAATTCTACGATTCATAAAATTTAATCTGTGCTTATTACAATTTTAAGGATGTATTTTTACAAACTGTTATTAAATTCTGCTTGACTATGATCCTTAACAGAATTTACAACCAATTTTAACCCGAGAAATATACAACCGTTGGTCTTCGGATTATAAATTTTATAACTTTATTTCATAACTACAATAACATATCAATAGCAAAATACCTTTGCTAGTAGGCATAACATAAATTGTCATAAAACGTGGTTATTACATCTTGCATTATGTTTTACAGACACTATATTACCACTATTTTCACGGCACAAACTATTGCAAACATGACAAACAATTCTTTTGCGAAAGTAGAGTTGCAAGAGGCAAAATATTTAAATGGAAAGTAAAAATTTCAAAGTACATCACTAACAACATTTAAACAGCATAATAAAATTATATTACGTTTATTAATACAATAAAACTAAAAATTTAAAGAAGAATAATATTCAACTGGAGCTGTTTAATTTTTTTAAAAATCAGAAAAAATAACTAAAACCTTAATTTTATCAAAAATCGTATTTAAAATAAGTTTATTGTTAGAAATGAAAATACAAAATATGTCAAAAAACTAAATATGGAAGAGCTTAATGAGCAAAAAACTCTTTTTATTAGGCATTCATACATTATATAAAAAAATATTAACACGGTTATTCGGTTTATTTATGTTTTCATTTGTATCACTTTACTGCACCTTATGTCATCTACACTATTAAAATGTGTCATAACCATTTATCAGTTTGCAGTGGTCCAGATTTCAATTTTAGTTTATTTTTTTGTACAGTTTGGTTCAACTAGGCAATTACAAATACTCCGTTCACTTGTTATCGCAAAATCGTAAAATACATATATGAGATGTATGCATGTATACGTTTGTATATATAATATATGCATATACTCAAAATAACATTTACCATGTGATTTATGAGGGAAGAAAATTTGCATACAAATAAATGTTTACCTGTGCATTGATGATTGCACAAAAACAATACATTGTTGCTTGTAATAATTAACATAAAAAATAGAGTGTCCTAAGCTATCAAAGAAATACATATGCCTTATTTTGTGGAAGCCTTAAATACACAATTGGCACGTCGCGAATGGAACTTCTGAAATGTAAATATTTAATCCATACTAAAACAACTCACATAACCTGATGCAAGCGTTTCTTTCACTAAAATCTATCGAGCATTTATCATAACAAACTTTTAAATTAAAGCAAAAGCTGTTTTATTTGAAATAAAGTTATTACTTATATGGATTGATAAAGTAAAATTGTGAACATAAAACAGTTATCTTCGCAACAAGCAGTTGCAGCTTCTTGATAAATGATACAAGAATGGCACTTGAAATCAGATTGTACACATTCGCGGTAATACATCGAAATCTCTACTGGCGATCAGTAATGTATTTCCGTCTCTTTTTTCTCTTCCCAATATTATATCTCTAACAATTTTCAGTGTGGCAACATATATATATATATGTACTCGTATGTATATAGCATAGTATAGTGTAGTATGTCGTATTGGGTAATTTCTTATTTGCATACTCGTATGTATATATATAGTTTCAGATTACTCCATATGCATTTAACCAAGCTTCCGCATACATACTTGATAATTTTCTTTCTGTCAAGCCGCCAATTAATTTGACATATTTTATTTAGAAATTATGTGGCTCAGTTAGAAAACTTATGTCCACAGTTACGAATGTATTGGATTTGCTCGTATTTTTTTGCGAGTCCATATCACAGGTTAGTTGAAAGCAAATCGCTTGCTCAAGTGAGCGCTACTTACAAACAATTTTAACAAAGTTTGCACAGTTTATAACATATTAGAAAAATTGTTTTTCATTACAAACTGTTGTTTATAGGTTTAATAAACTAAATGTAGTTTTGGTTGTGAATATGTAGTTACCGTTCTTCTTAGCGCAGTCCATATACTCCACTCTCTGTGGAAATTATCGTGGGGTGGGTCTACTCAACAAAGGTCCTGTCTAGCGTACTGAAATCAAAATTAAAGTAACAATTACTCTAGCTCTCTACATCGGGCATAAACAAGCACGTACATGTATTTAAAAGTGTCTGCATAATGGTAAACACAAGAAACTTCACACCTTCATATAAAGTTTCATAATTCAATTATTATTATTTAATAATTAAAAAGTTTGCATGTGCGAGCAAACCCGCAATAATTTATGCGATTCGGTTACCTAATGTGTAAGATGTTTGTCGATTAAATAGGTATTGTAGTATATGAGCTACAGTTTTCCTATACAATTTAGTATGTATATGTAGGCACAAAAAAGGTAGGAATATATCGTTTTATGTGCCTGTTCATGGTAGGGAATACAATTTAACTAATTTCCTCAAGTCATAGTAAAGTATGCTTCTTTATGAATTCGGGTTCAGGTTACGAGAAATTTGTACGTTTAAATAAACACCGGTAACATTATTGTATATTATTATTATTATTTTAATATTTAATATTAATTTTAAAGCAATTATGCATATCACTATAAATGGCTTAATAATAAAAGTGGAACATACATACATACTTATATATTAATACATATGCGCAGATGTTTTCTTATTCTTATGTTAGTATACATATAATTACAACAGTTTTGCAACTTCGTTCTCTAGTTTTTTGCTCACTAATAACACCGGCGCACAAAAAAATTAAAAGCGTCTTTCTTAGATTTTTAAGGTGTTTTTTTTATATTTATTCTTTCTTTTGATAAAAGTTTTCTAGTGACTGGACGTTTTTTAAAGATCGGATATAAAAACCAACGGCCGCGGTAGCCGAATAGGTAGCATTGCGCACTGCCATTCGGAAGACTCGAGTTCAGATCTTGGTGCCGTACTAACATCCAAAAAAAAAGTTATAAAAAATTAATTTAACTAAAAAAATTAAGCTAAATTTCCTAATTGTGGTCGCCGCCCTGCAGGGAATGGCAACCCCTGCGAGTGTATTTTTGACATGAAACAAAAAGCTCATCATACAAAACCAGCAGCCGTTCGGAGATTGCTTAGTATGAACTGTAGGTCTCTATTTGTTGGAAAAACATCAAGACGCAAAACCGAAAATTGGAGAAGGAGCTCGGCCAAAAATCAGTTACAAATCATCATTTATATATGTATATATATATATATTCAAAATCCATAACGCTGGAACTACCCATCTTACTTACCTCCCAGGTATCTATCTTATGAGAGCCTCATGTAAATGAAAAGTTGTCATCGCTGGCCGATGCCTTTACTGACGGTTGTCCTGCAAAAACCGGCGGCTATTTGATTTTCTCCATAAAACTAAGAATATTACTTTTTTCAAAGGAAATGAAAACTGAAATAGTAGTTAATTATTTATTTATTATTTAGCTGCGGCATAAGTGGAAATTAGTATATTAGATATTAAAAAATTGCAAAATATTTCTATATTAATTATATTTTTATAAATTCTTAATAACTTTAATGTGCCACATGGTTACACACTTATACATATTGGTGTAATAAAAGATTATCCACTATTTTTGCTTTATTTACCATTTATTTCAAATATGCATCGTTTGCTAGAGCACGTTTTGTCAGGTAATTCATTACGCTTCTTTCATAGAAACCATAGTCAATATTGCCAACAATTGGGGCAAACAAATTTCACAGGATTTTCTCGATTCCAATTCTTCACTAGCCAAATCATTCACCATAGTCCGGAACGCACGCCCATGATAGTAATCACTTGGTGCGAGATGCATCATTTGTAATTGCCATATTTCTAACGTCATCTAGCGTAATCAAATCGCACTACTTATAGGATGCGATATACAGATTATTAAATTCATCTATTGCAAAAATAATGGACTGACCTAATATGAGTATTTACTAATAATATGTTGTTCAAATTTATAAATTACTTACGGAAGCAGAGGATGGGCGTTTTAACTCAGCCTCTACGCCCCCAAAACACTATCATTAAAATGTTATTTACATATGAATACTTTCTGGGTAAATAGCTCTTCCAATGATGAATTCTTTAGCTTTTCCCTCCATTTGGAGGCTTAGAATTAAGTCTTGATTAACACGCGAAATTTTCTTCCATGCGGCATTTTGTTAAAAAAAAAGAAAAGAAAACCATACAAATTTTTTCGACGTGTTTTGACGTGTCCCCTTTTTTATAGGAATCGCGACAAACTCTAATATTTTTATATGTATCTACTCGTATATATATAAAATTACACAAATCAATGTTAATATGATATGGTACAAGATGGTAAAGCGCGGTGAAATACCATGTTAAGCCGGTTTCACGTAAAAAATCAAATCGACGTTGGTTTCTGCGGGACAACCGTCACTAACTGCATGGGCAAGTTGTGACAACTTTGTGTTTACATGGCACTCTCATATGATAGGTTGCAAAGGATGGAAGGTACGTGAGTTGGGTAGTTGCAGCATTAGATTCGTGATGGTGAATTTCTTCTTTCGTTTCTGGATTAATACAAAATCTGAGCAATTTGAAAATTCACACGCGCTGGTTCTTCTCGTTATTTTGGTTACAACTACAACTCCGATTGTGGTACGTGTATTGGTAATATACAAATTTTTATTAACGAACACGCTCATCTATCGCTAACGAGTGTGCAGCGTTTATGTATAGTCATATATGTGTAGGTGTGTATAGTCATACAAATTCAAAATCAAGTTAATAGCTGCATTAAAGTATGATTTTTATATTTTATTTTTTAACTTATTTTTGGTTTCCATAAAAAGCATAACACTTGTAAAATGCAAATTAATTTCGTTATGACTTTTATGCATCAACTTCCGCTTACAATGTTTTTCTGTACACATCACGTCAATGTTTGATGCGTATATGTGTATGTATTTAAATTGCACAAACCATTGTAAGTTAAAAATTAATTAATTAATTAAAAATTACTTCTTTTGTTAATAAATAACTATTTTAATTATAATTATCTTATGGTTTTGTTGACTTAAATGCAACCATACTTCCCAATCCTTTGTAGGTTTCTTGATTAAGGTTTTGCTAGTTCGTTTTTCTTCAAAAGAAACCGATTTGTTAATACTTTGCACAAGTTGGTAGCATAAATTGAGCAAATAACCATAAAGTTCCTGTTGGATTTATCGATAACAACGATAAACTATCAACGGATCGTCTGTGTGTTAGGGGTTCAAGAACATTACCCAAAAACTACTTTGGAGAATATTTATGCGGCTACTACAAAAACATAAATTATTGTAGTAATAGAATATTTTGGCAGCAGCTGTTAATTACAGCTCTGTTCGGTGAGAGTTTCGGATATGTGATTAAGAATTGGCTGAGCTTTAGTTTTGAGCCGCACTCTATGTTATAAGCAGACCAAGAGGAATATACACATAAAACTTTGAAGGAATGATGTAACAATTAAAATTTAAATATATTATTGTTTATAAATTTTTTGTTGTGAAAAATTATATTTCCAGATATTGAAGTTTTAGGCAAATTTCTACATACATTTTGTACGTATACATATGTATGTTCACTCCTCTAATGAAATGATCAAATTATTTTTGTTTATCGTTTGATCTCAGATAGATATGTCCGATTTTTGTAATAATAATATAATTATATATTTAGTGATTGGCGGCTGCGACAGACAAGTGGTTAGCATTTCGTAATGCTATTCGGAAGGCTCGGGTTCAAAACTTGATGTCACGTCAAATAAATTTATATACTCTTATTGTTGAATGTACGTATGAATTGGCGGCCGAGGTGCAGAGTCGTTATCATTGCGTACTGCCATTCGGAATGCTCGGGTTCAAATCCTGCTACGACCAACATCCAAAAGTTATAGAAAATTAATTAAAATAAAAAATAAATTAAATTTTCTAATTGCGGTCACGCCTCGGGATTGTCAACCTCTTGGAGTGTATTTCTGACGTAAAAAACAAAAGCTCCTCATAAAAAACCATCAGCCTTTCGGAGGCGGCTTAGTATAAACTGTAGACCCCTCCGTTTGTTGGTAAAACATCAAGACGCAAAACCACAAATTGGAGGAGGAGCTCGGCCGAAAATCCCTTCAGAGGTTGCAAAGTGCCAATAATATATATGATACATATATGAATATTTTATAAATTTATGAATTCACGACAGAGTATGTTTCGTTTCAAATATTTTGATATGCTGTTAATGCATATGTGACTTTATTCACTAATGCCAACTTATTTAACATTGCTACGAAAGTTTCGTTTCTCCTCTTATACATATGTATGTATATTAATTATTAGATAAATACAACTTGTGTGACATATACGATTTTCCTGTGTTACTCTAACCACATCCCTCTCGATTCTATTATTAATTTAAATATTCATTTTTCATTGTTTGTGATGCATTGAGCTCTAAAGTTACTCTCTCAAAAATTAAAAACTAAATTTCAGCAGATAAATACATCAAAATCATTGCATTTCCTGCTTTATCAAATTTAGCTCCTCCAAAAAGTCATCAGTAGCGGGATATGCATAGTTCTGTGATACTGCGTTCAATAAAAAATTTGGTATGTAGGGTCAAAAATTAGTAAAATATTTACATTAAATTAAAATTGAAGTATTTATAAGTATGTATTCCAGAGTAGTAGAATTTTTTTTATATATATTTCTTACAAAATGGGCACGGTTAGTCTGTATGCCTACGTAAAAATTTTATTTTAACGGTTGAAGTAGTTTATGAATTTAAATTTTAATAGCTGGAGTAGTTAAATAATTTTTTTTAAGTTAAGTTAAGAAAGAGGCGCGTTTAGACAATTCAATTGTTTTATTACAAAAAGTCTAGTTACAATGAAATTTTAAAGAAAAAAAATGTTCATGCTATACATATTTATCTCTTATTTAATTTATTATCGAAATATTTGAGAGTAAAAAACTTAATTGAGTGTACATATCGCTTTGAATTTTAAAATGCTTGTCTCAGTTTCTTGATTTTTTTATTCATGAGATTTTTATATAAATTAATTATGTTCATGGCTTGTTGTCACTATGGAAAGAGAATGCTAATATTAATAATAATATTAATAATAATATAAATATATATATAATATAATATATATTATTATATATATATATATTATTATATATATATTATTATTATATATATATTATAATAATGGATAAACATTCTCTGGTAGTCCAATTTTGGTGGTATACATTTTAATGTATATATAATTTTGTAACCGAACGCCTAAAAATATACCCCATTAAAAATAGCTTAGAAATAATGTCAAACAATAAGCAAACTATGTTAGCTGTTTTATATTTTTTACAAAACCTTCGAGAAATTTAACATAGCCATATGCTAATTTCTTACTATGTACAAATTCTTTTTTTAAGTAAGTGATGTGATTTATAGCTTTATCGCGTATAGCATGCTAAAAGTACCATGTATAATTTTTCCACTCAAACATCATGCTATTAACCTTTAATATAAATTAGGCTAACTTCGGTTGGGTTTTAAATAAATAGTTATTATTAATAACTCAATTTATGATTCGAAAAATATACATTGCAAGTTAATATTAAAAACAATAGCTTTCATTTTCTTAATTCAAATTCGTTTAGGTCGCAAAGTCAGAAAACACATAAATACAATATTCTCTAAGGTCAGTAAGTATTCAAAGCTCGTCACTGTTAATAACCAACACTACAATCAACCTAAAACCCCAAAATTTAACTTTTGCAAGAATTGCACACAAAATCCAACTTTTTAACATAAAAATAAAAAATTACTAAAAAAAAAACACATTGTAAATGATATTCCATACGATGTTTCTGATTTACTTATTTTTTTCATAAAATAGTACCGTAATAGTGAAATGGTGCATCTGAACTAAATATTTGCTTCGCATATTTATTTAAATATTATTAAAATATTTATGTGTGCATGCAATATGGTAAAGAAATTAAACTAAATATAATCTCATCTGAACCATAGTTTTAAACGGAGAGCATCTACACCATTCAAATAGTAACGAAATAAGCGTTTATCACGAACAAAACCTAAGTTCTCATATAAACGCAACGCGGGTACATTACGCATTTCCGTCTCCAGCACAACTTCGTCGGCATTGTCCGCTAGCATGGCCTAAGATTAGTGTCAAAAAAACTTAAAAAAAAACATATTGTTTTCATAAATTTTAAATGAATTACCTCTATTGCTTTTTGAACGAGCGTTGTTCCAATTTTGAGTTTCCTATATTCCTTGCGCACTGCCAACATGGCAATATAGCCACGCCTCACATTCATATGCATGTCAAGCTTGCATACTATGGCACCAACATACTCATTACCATGCGCTGCCAAAAAGCATAATTTTGGCCAGTTATATATGAAATACCGATAAGTGTAAATGGAGTATGGCTCCGACAATTCAGCCTGTATCAAACGCATTATATCCTATTTTAAAAATAAAATAAAAATTGTTACACTTAAAATATAATGAATTTGAGATAGGATATATTATATATTAAACAAACCGCCAACTCACATGCATTTGTAACTCCGATTCGTATTCCTTATAATCAATATGTACATTAGCCAAATCCACTTCATTTGCAGTGGCCACTGAACGCAACATGGGCTGGTTTTCCACCTTTTGTTTTGCTTGAAACGCACCCTCAGAGTTTGGCTTGGCAGTGTTGTTTTGTTTAGGTATTGTAGTGATATCGTAAGAGTTTGAACTATTTGTAAGTGCAGCTGTGGTTGTTGCTGATGGATTTTGTTGTGAAGCAGAGTCGAAAATCAGTACAGATTCTGGATTGACTAACGCCTTTGTAATTGTATCTGGGTTGATATATGCGGTATTGCTTTCATTAGATAAACACTGTTGTGGGAACATTTTGCTATGCATTTCAACATTCCGTTCATTAACACAATTGTGAAACCCATTTTTTACTTCGACCATGTCTATTTCCGTCGTATTGTTTTTTATATCCGTACGCTTTGAAAAAATTGGTGATGATGAGTCGCGGTTACAATTGTATCTTTTCAATTGTGATGTATTATATTCATATTCTCTGTTAGCTTCTTTGTTCCTTTGTTTGTTTTTACTTTTTGATTTTTTTAAAGTACCAGCGGCTGCAGTTTCTATCAGAGATGTCTGCTGTTGAGTCCTCGTGTTGGTTGCAGTATCGTTTGCGGGAGAATGGTGTCCATTCTGAACAGAACGACTATTAAAGCTCTCCCCAGTACCGTTAAATTGAAGACCTTCCTCAGTAATATGTAAATGTTGTTCTAATTTAGCTAAAAGTCCATTTTCTGAGACCATTTCAACGCCACTTGTTTTGATCCGAGTTTCACTTTTTTTTGCGACTTCGGTGAAAGGATCAATAGAGGAATTGTTAGCGACACCCTTCCCACTTGATTTTTTATTTTTGGATTTTTTCTTCAATTTCTGCGACGTTAATAATTTTTGATGTTCAACAACAGGACTTTCGGGATTATCCATTGTTATGCTTTCTCAAACTATCCGAAAAATCTGTCTTTTAAAGAGAATATTAAATAATATTTTACCAAACCGAATTTGTATTCTCAAAAGTTCTAACGTTCGGTACTACTCCCCGTCAACTGCACCAATAATTGTTTGACACTTCCTGCCAATCACTTGTACTTTGCCTTGTACAAAAGCAGTATTAAGACGATATATTTATGTATATATTTTTTCCTTCGATAGCCATGTACTTTTATTTCAAACTTTTATATTCGTCATCTATAACTTCTAAACGAAGATACAAATTTAACACACTCCTTCCAGCAGTTACACTACTTTTCCTATTGGATTTATAATGTGACATCCGAGGTAACCAGTATATTATACCGTCTTCTCTTTTTATAACTAATGTCTATCTCCTGTTGTGCCCTGCTTTTCTGACCACATTCAGTCCTTTTCTTGAGCAAACCGACTGCTATAAAATACTCTCCAACATTCCAGAAGAACAACAAATATGTTTCAATGGGTTCCTAATCAATTATATAAAATTTACCTATCAAAACTACGAGCAATTTTGTTTTTTCTTTAATTCTTAAAATTTTCACTTTCCTAGCGAAATGAACGTGAAATACAAGTTATGTGTTGCCAGATGTCTTTATTATAATCTTCCGAAGTTATGAAATTAATTATGGAATTTCGAACGAGCTCTATGTAATGATTAATAATTATTGGTCTGCTATCGAAAATGGAAATTGAATATCATCCATTATATTGACTCATTATTTATAATCTTTAATTTAATCGCAATAAATAGGATATTTAAGAAAATGTAGTAAAAATTAGGGCATTTAAGGAAATGTAATATGGCATCTTTAAACTCTACTATCAGCAGATGGCTTTTGACAACTGTTAAACGCAAAAATCGTTCCACATTTGCTCCTAATCAAACATGCAGGGTTGTAAAATGAGTAAATTTGCGTTTGTAAAACGAGTAAATTTACCATTTAACAGGACTGTTGGATTTTGCTTAAAATATACTAGAAGAATGTATATATGTATGGGCCATATAATTTCTATTCATAATGTCTGTACACTATTAAACATTGGTTAAAAAAAAAAACCAAAATTACTTTGTACCTTTGCCCACCCTGTATTTTCGTGTGTTATCCATTACTCACCTAAAATTTCGTTCAAGAATAACAATTTTCATTTGCTGTCAAACGTTTATGTTGATAGCTGTTTAACATTCATCATATCAGTTTTACAAAGTATTTTGTAAAAACTTTAAATGAAACAATGTCAAAGTCTAAGAATGTGTACAGAAAAGGAAGCAGTCTTAATGAAGAGCAATCAGATTGCAGTGAAAGAGAAATGTACAATCCCGATGAAGCTACGCGCCATCATGGCCAAAGAAGTTTAAATGCGTCAAAGGCAAAGAAAGATCGATCTGAAAAGAATTTGAAGCATAAAGATTCAAGCAACAGCAGTGACGGATCAACATCTGAAAGTGACTCATCAAAATCGTCAACAAACTCTATTCCACACAGAATTAGCAAAACCACAATACGCACTGAATATAGTAATAAACGAAAACACAGCGAAGAAAAGGCTAAACGTAGACCATACAAACTCACACACAAACGTGATCATAACGAAATAAATGCTGACGATGAACCAAACGTTTCGAAATGGGACAGTCCTTTAATACGAACTCGACCGCGTAGTAGAAGTAGAAGTCGTCCGAGACATAGGCAGCGTGAAAGGAGTGAGGAACGAAAAACAGTACGTTCAAAAGAAGATTATTACGACCGAGGGAATCGAACACGTAGTAATTACGGACGGAATTACAAAGAACATTACGACAAAAGACGAGAATACACATCGAATGATTTATCTGCACGGAGAAATGATCGCAATGATAAAACGTACAGCAGATCACAACATGATGATCGTGTAAAACGAGAGCACAAAGAGCGCTCTAGACAAATGAATTCACCAAACCGCAAAAACTCACGCGATAACGAGAGTGGGAGCTATGAATGGGGTAGCAAACATCCAAGTGATAAACGCGAGAAAGATCAAATAAAAGTTGAATCAATTGAAAAAGATAAACCAAACTTTGCGTTAAGTGGTGCTTTACTAGAGGATACAAATAAAGTAAATGGCATTGTTGTAAAATACGCTGAGCCGCCAGAGGCACGGAAGCCAAAACGACGTTGGCGTTTGTATCCCTTTAAAGGTGAAACCGCGCTGCCTACATTACACATACATAGACAAAGCTGTTTCTTGGTTGGACGAGATCGGAAAGTTGCTGATTTAGCTGTTGACCATCCAAGTTGCTCTAAACAGCACGCCGCATTACAGTACCGGCTAGTGTCCTTTGAGCGAGATGATGGCACTCAAGGGAAACGGGTTCGGCTCTATCTCATTGATTTAGAATCAGCTAATGGCACATTTTTAAATAATAAAAAGATTGATCCTCGAAAATATTACGAATTAATTGAGAAGGATGTTATAAAGTTTGGCTTTAGTACACGCGAATATGTACTATTACATGAGAATAGCAAAGAGGATCAAGAGGACGATGATGTATTTGTTAAGCCGGAGCCAGAAGATGAGCCAGAGAGCTTGAATCCCTAATCTTATAAACGTTTATTCCCAAGAAATGAACAGAGTTCAACTGGTTAAAGTGTAGATCAAAGCGTGGAAGATACTTTAGATATGAACAAACTCATATCTACATACATACAAATGTCTTAAAAATATTATAAATACCATGCATGTATTTTGGCTTTTTCTCCCTTAATTATGCCACACTTATAATATTGTAAACACTTGTTTGGTTATTTTTATTAACTCTAGTTTGCTCATTCAAATAAAAACAAAATGCATATATAATCGTTTTATAACTGTTTTGAGAGTACTAAGGGTTAGCCAGGTTAGCCGAAAACTGGCATTTAAAAGTGCGATTTCATAGAAATAAACATACATATGTATGCACGTATGTACATCTGTATGACTGAAAAATTTTAGTGAATCAATTGGTACCAAGGGGCCTCTGGAATTAGAAAAATTAACTTAATTTTTTTTGTTTAAATTAATTTCGAACAATTATTTTTATGGATCGAACCCTGGTTTTTCGAATATACACAATGCTATTGTGCCCGTGGCGATTTCGTTTATTTGGCTGATAAATAAAAAATACTATGATACATGTACCACTTAGACCAAACAACGTATTTTAAACCACTAAAAATATATCATTTTCATTAATAAACGAGCTTCAACGTGACGATTACAAACTCAAACATGTAAGGAAGACTAAATTCGAGTGGAATCGATCAAAAGATATTTTTGACACACTGTTTAAAACATCTTAATTCTTACTTGATCTATGGAGCATACATTTTTAATCGATTTATTTCACTATTTCATGAAGTTTTCCACATAGAGTTTATTCTTACATCGATTATTTTAAAACCATTAGTAGAACAAACCAAATGTTTTCTGAATCTCGTAAAAATCATGCATCAGAGAAAAATTATCCTATGATAAATATCCAAAAAAAATTTGATACAGGTGACGTTTCAAGTACGTGAAGGCGTCTTGTTACTAAATTGTGAATGTCAACTATTTGTATTAACTTGTGTAAGCTGCAGCTATTATTGCAATTGTAAGGTTTTTTTTCTGGAGTTAATCTTGTGTCTAAACTATACATATTATTTAAAAGAATAATAATAATTTAATAATATCTGATAGTAAAATCATGCCAAAAAAGCAGGTTAAAAATGGATTTATGTTGTTTACTATTGATTGGAGGTCTCAATATGGAAAACATCTTAGTATCAGCGAAGCAACAGCAGAAGCAGGAAAAATTTGGGGTGTAAGTTTCTGTGAATTTATAATTCTAAAACATAAAATATGCATAGATAACGGCACAATCTATGCAAATTGATTATATTAGCCACATTCCTATGCGTATATACACACATATGTAAATTGTTTGTATTAAACGAAATATATTAGTCTATGTCAGTCCATGAGCGTGCTCCTTATAATGAACGTGCAAAGCAAGAAAGAGTGGGATCGAAATCTGGCAGGCCATCTAAACTTACCTGCACAGGTAAATCAGTTGAAGAAGTAGAGAGGGAGAAAAAAGAAGCTGATGATGAAAAATCTCGAATGCAGCGTTTTATACAAATGACTGTGCGAAACAGTGTCAAAAATTGCCGTGAGTTAATAGTTTTTATGCCTTATAATGTCATTACTTTTTTATTTATATATTTGTTTACAGAGTTGGAAACGCAGTCATACTTCTTTATAATGGTAAATTATTTTGTAAAATCCCTCAAAGGCAACATATATGTTCCAGCAGAAATATCGGTTGCTGAATATTCATTGAAGGATGGTGTTTGCCGGAAATATCATACATTTGTTAATCCTGGTAAGACTGTAACCATTTCCGTTTGGTTTCTTGCAATTAATTTTTATTATTAAGGTCCCAAAATCTACGGTTTACAGTATGAGGCGCAACATCATTCCGAAAGCACACACAAATTGCCTTTGCCACCAAACGCTAAAGGCGAGGCAAATATGGGTCTTATATACAGTAATGTATTGGACTTTATACGTAACCAGGAATCCGGCGAATATCCACCAGTTTATACCTTTCCTGAGGCTAAGCAAATCGTTGAATCTGTTTTAGATTTTCTTAAAAAAGACAGCCCAAGCAATGTCGATTTGAGAGTATATGATATAAAATTTCTTTTTTATATACTTAAAGAAGCCACTTGTGAAATGGGTGAAGTGCCGAAACCATTAAACCAACACATTACCGACGCGTTTTTTGAACGCGACAGCTTTGAATTTAACAATGGTCTTGCTTGCACTGTAAGTTCAAAATAAATTTTTGAATTAGCCAATTGTAGGTATTTTATATTTAAAATATTATTTACAGTATCATGAGGACATTGACAAAAGTAAATATTGTACGCAATCATGTGTAACCCGCTGGGGCTTCATGTTTTCTGATTATATGTGTAGAGATATTGCCATTGATTTAATACCAGGACGACATGCACCAATAGACTACAAATTAGCTGCAACCATTGTGGATCCTTCACCGAGCACTTTTGCCGACACTGATTCTCATATATCAGTAAATAGTGGAAGCAGCTACGCCACTAAAGCAATATCCGAGAATAAAATTTATTATGATGACCAAAAGACATTTGTGTCAAGTCGTTCATACACAACGGCCTGCTCTTCAAGAATTCAAAATAAGGACGATTTTCCCAGTCTAGGATCTGGACGCAAGAAACATAGTACACTTGTTTCAAGTGCACCTCCAAAGACTATCCGAACCAATGTAGGTTACCAGAGAAGTATGGATGAAGCTTTCGAAGATTCAGTTGATGATTTAAATCCATGGTCATCACGTTCACGAAATGTACCTCATGAGCCAGATTCATCACACTTTGATATAAATTATACTCGTGAAGAGACAACTGATAATGAGGCAACTTCAACTGTCGGCTATGGGAGAGGAAGAATGCGCAATAACCAGTCTTTAAGTAGCAATACGACCTTATTCTCAGGCCGTGGCAGACTATTTCAACGATTTGAATAAGAAACAAGAACTAATTTTCATACATTTTCTAGCCATTTCCATACAATGCAAGAATTTTTTAAGTATACTTCTAATTTATTTGAAATATTTTTTAGTTAATATTGATACATATGTATCTATGTTTGCATGAAGTTGGAGTTCATTTAATTTAATTTAATTATCTATTTAAATCTTTTGACTACTGAAGAATAATATAAGAAACTTCTTGAGCATACAACCGTTTTTAATTTAACAAAAGCGAAAAATTTGTAGTGGAATATTTATTCGTAAAGAATTCATACATCCACGTAAATGGATATTGCAAGGATTTCAAGGAATGCAGTACGACGCTAAATCTATTTAGTTACTGTTTTCGCCCCATTTGAGCTTACACGTAAAACAAATGTCTACCATAGTTTTCTTTGAGGTCAACCGTGGGCTGCTAAGTTTTCGTTCAACTATACGTGACTTCAAATTTACGGGAAGAGTTCAGTTAGCCCCTTTATAATTTCCAAACTCAATCCATTTCCTGATAAGACTGACTATGAGAGTAGGCGGAAGATTAGAGCTAGCGTCATTATCGTAGATACAATGAACGATGTTACCTGTTGACCTAAACGGGGCTAGGTCGCCGAAAGGGTGACAACCCTTGGCCGGATAAAATCCGGGTCAACCTCGGTGCGATAAACCGGCTGTCGTGAGAGTCCAACCCCGTCGAAACAGCTCGCTTCCTGGACCTCCCACTAGATGACCCCGGCGACTTAGACTGATGAAACCTGTGCTTAAGCGTGGTTAGCGAACCGCTACAACAACAACAACAACTTTGCGGTTAGAAATGTAATAAAATTAGTAACTCTACCTGTAACCGACGGAGCAGCAGTAGGTGTTTTTCTTTCTTCATTATTTTTAGCCTTTTCATTTACAAGCAAAAATATCTATATTCAATGATTCGTCGTCAATATTTTTTAATTAAAATTCGGCATTCTAATTGAACGCTTGGTGGCAGAAAATTAGATATTTTTCAGCTTTCAGCTTTAAGAATTGAAAAACGCGTTGCAATCCATTGGTCAACAGCATCCCCGCACGAGCATTTTCGAAAAGTCTTTACTCAATTTTGGGTTGAAACATATAATATAATTTATATATATTAGGAATTAGTTCTCATATCTATTACAAAAATAATATTATTATAAATAGTGATGACGGTTTTGCATTGGTTTGTTTATAAAATCGCCCAATCGCTTGACTTTTGTCACATTTTTACATCGCGTTTGATATTAGCAATATAGCCGGGGTAATTGAGACATGGGTACAGCTTATAGCATAAAAGCATAAAATTAGCTTAATTTAAACCAAAATCGTTTGATCTAACACAAATGCTATCTTCTTCCTCAACAGTATCGCGCGATTCATTTCGTTCTTTCGGAATTACGAAGTGAAAGAAGAGCGCTACCCACTTGATCCATTCAATAAAGTAGAGGTATTCCTCTTCAAGTAAAGGGCTTTTATCCATTAGCGAGATGACTTAGCCAGATTAGGTGTTATCCTTTATTCGCCAAATTGTTGATATCAATGCCATCAGCGTATGCCGTTTTTGTTGTTGTATCGGTACGTTAACCACTTTGTCAGTTCTTCGCCGCTACGCTAGAAAGCACGGCCTGTAGACCAACGGCTATAGGCGAATTCTTGTTATATAAGCGGTCGAATAGTTGTTCGAACCGCGTCTCAGACGGGTAACCACTGTGCAAACCCTATCATCTGGTAAAAAAAAGCCCGGTCATCAGTAGAGATGACGAGAATGAGAAAAGCAAAATTCGATAATCAATTCTATATATTCTCTTTCTAGTTCTATTTTAATTTTATTTTAATTAATTGAAAGTACAAAAACTAGTTATACAAGTACTCTTACTTATTTGCAACTACAACGTAATCCCTGTAAATCATAACACATAAAACAAATCAATTAAAACTCTGTTTACAGTTCTATGGATGTACTAAAAAAAAGACGAATGCAACCACCACACATTTTTCGTTTTTCTTTTAGTAAAATATATAGTATTTTCAATAGATTTGGTATAAAATGCAGATTACAAATTAATTATATACACTCAATCACTAAGTAAAAAATGTACAGCTGTAAATGCAAAAATGAATGTAGATAAAATAATTTTTGTTATTATTTATTTTTAATTTTTTTGTCTCATTGTGATTTTTCCTATGACTAAATAAATGGAATCTTATACAGATCTCGAAATAGTTACTTGTTGGTGTGCAATTACTTCATATTTATGTATGATAAAGAAAACTTTAATTATTATTATTTATTAAATATAAATTATTTTCTTCACCAATTGATGTGTAATTTACATTATACTATATTGTAAATATTTTTCTATACCTACAAATAAAATGTTTAACTTAAATTTTCTAATATTATGCTTAAATGCTTTTGTGTGTGTATGTAAAAGTCCAAGAAAATATATTAATTGTAATATAATGCAGCACCTTCGTGTTATATTAGTTTGTGGCTAACTTACTTTCAAATGATAGCAGATAGTAAAAATCAGTTAAAATGATTTTACTTGTGTAAATTTGTATATTTTGTATTGTGTGAATGCATTTTATTTTTGTGCACATAAAAATGGTTAAAACACCAGAAAAACATATTTTGCTTTAAATTGGCAAGCCTAAAACTTATGTATAATATATACGAACGTATGTAAATGTATAGAATGTAAATACTAGTACTTTACTTAAAAAATCTTATAAATTCAGTAATGACCAGTGACCACAATATAGACAATCATCACTTAGGAAATAAATTTTTCCACATTTTACCAACGGCTGAACAATTTGTGAATAAGTAAGAAAAGTTTCCATTTCAGCAAAAAAAATAAATTGTTTGCGTTCTATGTTGATAATAAAACTTATAATATATTTATGTAAATACATATTTACATTAGGGTGCTCCAAATAATAGTAAAAAAGTAAGGATACTAAATAATATTTTATAAGCATACCGATCTCTAAATATTCTGATGCACCCATTTGATAAAGAAATTAAGAAAATATTTCAAAAACCCCCTAAGTTATCGGTAGAAATAATAGTGATGATTGAAGCATGTGAAAAGTTATTCGTTTACGTTTGGAATGTGCGTTGACATCAGCTATTCTCTGAGCTTGTTGAGCTTACGCATTTGTTACATTAAGCGTAGGGACGACGGGCATAACATTGCGTTTGTGTTCATTTGTGGCTAACGTTAAATTGCGTTCCTCAATATCCTGCTTTGTAGCTGTCATTACTTCTACTACCCCAGCAGCGTTTGGTAAATGTGCATGTAAGCTTACAGTTCTGGTGGCACTCGCTTGGCTATTGCGGAACGCTGGGTTTCCGTTGCTGGGAATGGCTATCGGCATCGTTGATTGCGTTTTTTTCACCGGCTTGTAGCGCGCCAATACTTCTGCTGAAGTTTGCTTTAAGGTCAAAGTCATTTGTCGATGTATTTTATCCATCAGTTCAGGTAGATCATCTTTTATCAGGTTTGTTGTGCTTATTGGTGGCATAGCGGTTATAATTACATTACCCGCATTTAGAATTTTCATCTTATCATTGAGAAAACTACAATACGAGCTGAATACTACAGGCAGAATAGGTATTTGTTCTTCTATGGCCATGTGAAAGGCGCCCTTTTTAAAGGGATGCAATTCACCCGTATTGCGTCGAGTACCTTCTGGAAATACCCATAATTTTATTTTTTCCTTTTTTACACGACTATTCACTGCGTTCAACGTACTGCGTGCCTTTTCTCCCCGCACTCGATCGATAAAGGTAAGCCCGGCTAGCCAAGCAGCCAAACCGAAAGGCCAAGCATAGAACAGTTCACGTTTGGCTACAACTGTGCATTTGTTCATAACGTGCCATATTTCGAACATACCTGGGAAGATAAGAAAATATTTATATTAAATAACACAATAGATTTTCTTGAAGAAATTATATTAGTTTTAACAGTATAAATTGCTTGTCTACCCAGTATATCCAAAGAACTTTGATGATTTGCTATGATTATGCAGGCTTGATCTTTTTGCAAATGTTCCCTGCCACGTAATTCCCAGCGTAGTCCAATCAAAGTCGAGACGCGATGGCAAAATGTACTCGCCCAACTAGTAAAACAAATATAATTACAATTATATAAAAAAATACTAATGTAAATGGGGGAAAAATCTGTGGAAAAAAATGCATTAAATACTTCCGTTTCTAGACGAAACAAATCTAAGATTCATATGTATGTACATATATCGTGTTGCAAACACACGAAAGGAAAGAACTTGATTTTCCTTTTCTCAAACACTTCTATGGAAGGTCAACTAATACAATCCCAATAATTGTGTAAGTACACCTTCCATAGAATCAAAATCGTTAGAGTTACGAAGAAGTGAAAATATTATTTTTATTTCTTTATATTCTTATTTAGTTTGACATTTCTTTAAAATAATTCAATGATAATTACATCAAGTAAAAAACTTTAAAATCTATGGAAAAGTTTGCGACTATCTACTATTTAATGACCCAAACCTAACTATTTGCTCTAAACCAAGCGCAAAACGAATGATTATGCCATTACACCATCTGCTTTGTTTACAAATACATATGTATGTATGTATATAATTTTGTATGTATGTAAATAGTTTTGCGTTTTGATGTTTTTCCAACGGCCTCCGAACGGCTTTTACTTCATATCCGAAATACACGCGGAGGGGTGGACATTCCCTGCCGAGAGGCGACCGCCATTAGAAAATATAACTTAATATTTTATTTAAATTAATTTTCCATAACTTTTGGATGTTGATGGCACCGAGATTTGAACCCGAGTCTTCCGAATATCAGTACGCAATGCTAACCACTCGGCTACAAATACATATGGATATAATAATTAAACAGAAAAAATCATATATTCACCCTTACGGTTATTTTACAGTAATTTCTTCGAATGTTTTAGTAAATTCAAATCGATAAGAGTGTTAGCACATTTCACAACCTTTTTATGTATTGTCATTTAGTAAAAAGTTAAATTTAATTTTTATACAATTTATAAAAACAAAGTCTCCCCTATTTGCGTTCATTGCTATTTTAAAGGTCATTTTTTGAGCATTATACTAAATTGTGCGTTATGAGAATAATATGCAATTAAACAAAGTACAGCTAAGCGATATATCCGTTGAACTGTTACTTAACGAAAACGTTATACTCAATTAGCTGCTGATAATGTAAGCGTATGATGCCTTCCAGGAAATTCATTCCTGTCCATATCTACCCATTTTTTGAACAATTTAAAGTTTTTGATTATTCTTTATATTTAAATAGGAAGGGAAAATTAAGTTTTACTTTAATTTAAATTTTGGCAAGAAGAATTTCAACATCAAATTATATAGCTTTGCATAATATTACCATTAGACTAAAGGTCTGATTAATGCATTTAATATCTTTGTACAAGCTCATTTAAAACTACAATATATAGCTTTGCATAATATTACCATTAGACTAAAGATCTGATTAATGCATTTAATATCTTTGTACAAGCTCATTCAAAACTACAATCTCGCCTTTAGATTGGAAAATTGTCTCTTCCCATTATCAATTTTTCAAGACAATAACTATGTAGTCCTGTTCCTTCCTTCCTCAAAGTTGTTTTTAAACTTTTCAACCAAATGAGAAACACGTAACGGCAAAAGGAAAAAAATGTGAGAAATAATAATAATACTTAACAATTTTTGTTATTTAATTTGCAATTTGACAGGGAGACATATTGAGCACTATTAAATTGTTACTCCATTATTTTAAGCACATAATCAAAACTGACCGACACATAAAATATCGATTATTCAATGTCTGAATAACGCACAACTATTAATTTAATTCAATCAATTACTTTGATGTGGCCGCCGCGGTAGCCGAGGGGTTCGCATTGCGTACTAGCCGCGGTCTCCCATCGGCAGCCAATCGCGACTCATATATATAAAAATTGTTCGAACTTTTATTATTAAAGTAAATAAGTTATGGCATTTTTCACAAGTTCGCGCTGCAATAAGAGCCGCTTTGGGTACACCACGCCTTTCACCAAGCTCAAATATATTTTTTGCTTAAAGCTCTAATAACTAGAGAGTACAATCCATTTTATAATAACGGTAAGAATCTCAAAAAGAGGAAACATTTTCTCAAAATAAAACCTGCTGAATTATAGAACTAACACTGCGCTACATACATCTTATGAACAATTATGAAGTAATAATTTGTTCTAATAATAAAAAACGTACATTAAACTTTCCTCAAATTTTGCAGAGAGCGATTTATTCATATCATTAACATTCTCTGAATTTTATTTCCTCTTTCTTAAGGTATCATTTCTTTCTTTTTTATGTATTAATGAAATAAAAATACTTCTATTAGAATTAGAAATTCTATAATATATCTCAAAAATTAAGAGTAATGTTCTAAAACCAGCAGCGTGCAAAAAAATACCAGTAATTTGAGTACAATAAAGGGATAAGTATGTTTGCTACCTTGTACTGGTCTTTATGAACAAAAACTGCTTCGAAAGACCTGAATGATGTAAAATAATAATAGTTAACAATAATAAATAAACTTAATAATATAAACACATAATAGTTAAAAAACAAAATAAAAATTAAAATTAAGTGAAATAATAAAAAAAATTTTCTATTTTCCCTATATATATATCCCTATATATATGCTCCACAAGTTTTATCTATAATAAAGAAAATTAAATCCACGTCATTGAATCTCTTTAATCATCGATGATGTTTTCATGTGGTCGGCTTATATTAAAAAGTTTTAACGAAAGTTTAATTGAATTATAAAGAATATTGTTTTCATTTGTTTATACTCACAGCAAATTTCGCACATCGAACGGCCGCAAAAGAAATGCCGGTATAAGGATAATAGAATTAAACGATACAATGCCGTAGTAGATGCAAAACTTGAAGTAGTAGCGAAAAATATGACTATTCTCGTAAAAGAATGGAAATGGCAGCATCAGCAGGAGAAACAAAACAAACAGCTCTGCATACGAAGCCATTTCGGAAATTTATATTCTAGGTAATTATTATTTGCAAAGTGGAGTCTGAATTTAAGCCGTTCTCTTGCTTGCTGCGATTAGTTAACTGGCTGTTATATATTAGTTCTATTGTTTTGCCTGCTTCGCTAGTGTTCAGAATTTGTAGGAGCATTTTTTAAACATGCTTTCACTGGCACGTGCAGTCATAGTATCACTTGTACACATATTTCGAAATAAATATACCATTTTTTTTCAATTACAATTGCGTTTTCATTGATTTATTTTAATTTTAGTTTAGTTTGTATTCCAAAGTATTTTGTAAAAGACAATTAAAAGGGATTTCAATTAGTTTTTGCCTTACATTTTTTTTTTATTATAGTTTTATAGTTTCGACCATTGTACATCACAAAACTTCATAGTTCCACTCCACATTTTAATTTGACTGCATTCGTTTGACCTTTATTGAGTAGAAGGTTTTTTTTTATTGATTTTAATGCAATGCTTAAATAAATATTTTTGTTATTTTAAAATACAGTGCTTTTTTGTTTTTGTTACTGTATTATTTGCACGTTTTGTTGCCTACCTGTGGGGAAGAGAGATCGAAGAGATTAAGTTGTTAATTTATGACACAGGTTGTTAGCGCAATATGTTTGTATTATATATAAATGTAATTATGTGGGTATGTATGTATGTATGTATATATGTATGAATGTATTGCATTTATTTATATCCTTTAGGTTTATTTAAAATGAAATTTTTAACAATGGCTCTCAAACTGTTTACAGAACGAAAACTTAGGTAAAGATTTATGTATGCATATGTAGCCCAGTTTGCACCATCATTAACCCTTATTAGAGCAAAACAGGGAGAGTTACCGATCTATTGTTTCTTCATGAGCAACATATGTTTGGTCGCCGGAAGGAATGGCAGTAAACTACAGCATACATTTCATCACTACCCCGTTTTTTTAGAACTTTCTGTAAAAAATACCGAGTCCTGCCTGCAATCTCGAGTTTCACCTCCATGACGTCTATCGCAAAAGTTAGCCGCGGGACAGCGTGCAGTACTCCTTGTTGCAGGGTATTTCACGTTTATTGTATTTTACAAATATGTATGACGTATTCAATTATGGTATGTAAGCCATCATATATTATTAGATGATATTTTTATTTGAAATAAAAATGATAATCACTACAATACAAATTATTCAATTGTAGTGGTACTGCTGGCTAACAAGTAATATTGAAGATGTTTTACCACTTAAGTACAAGTGTGTCAGCAATAGATATTATGTGCGATGAATCTATATGAAAAAAGTTGGAAGAAATATTTACACATTTGGATAAATCGAATAAAAAAGGATGCTTTAGAAAATCGCTTTTACATAGCAAAGCTATAAAATAACTTGCTGAAACAGTAATTAATAGATTTTGTTTAGAAATTAAGCGGATTTATGGGTCGTCTTAAGTATGGTGCTGGGTTGGTAGTGGGGTTGTTCAAAAGTTAATAAGAGCTAAAATCATGCTTTTTATATACTGGTAATCTGCATGTATTTTACTTATAAACACGCTAACCTGTGGGTAGACAGGCGTTGTCACTTGGTAAATTAAACTATAAATCTAAAAATCCAAGCCAAAGCAATACGAATTTCGCATAAAAAATTTTCGTGAAAATAAAAGTGTCAAGGGGTTGTTTTAAATCGTCGGCGAAGGCCGTCAACTTAAAACAGTTTCATTTAAAAATACTGTTCAAGGCGAAGTGGCAACGCCTGCAAGCAAGTGTATAAAGTGTTACTTTAAACGTAAATAACTTAAACTACGTATTTTCGCTCGATAAAATTATTTTTGGTAATTCTAGACCTCCTACTACCAACTTAGAACTTTACATAAAGGAAAACCAGAGGCTCCGTACTAAAGTTTCCCCGGACTTATATAAGATATGTTAGTATTTAAAGATATTTCAAAAAATAAATAGACTTACATTAAAAAATCACCAATTGAAGGGAGCTTGCTAGAGAATGAAAACATTGTCATGATAATACGTGCCGATAAATGAGAGGGTGGGTTTTTCTTTGTATACACATACATATTCACATAAGTACGTGTATACTATATGCCAATATATGAAAAAAGGAAACCTCAATAAAAATAAATTGGCATTTCTTTCACTATAGCATTGTTTAAAAACATATATGTATATGTACACGTGTGCTCTTAAGTATCACATAGCCATAAATTATTGACATAAACTTCATTGAGATACAAATTTTATTAAAGCCGGCTCTTCTTTTCTTACTGCAAAAGTTTTTCCCATTAATACTCAAACACACTGATTGATTTTTCAAACCATTATTTCAATATGCAAATGCATTCCTTTTCTGTACATATAAAAGATATGTCTATTCCATAGCAAAAGTGACCAACTATTGTATTTGTAAAGAGATTATATTACAAAGTTGTGTTTGTTACAAGTTTCATTAAAACACTTTTTCTTTTAAATTTATTATGATAGACATATGTACGTATGTATGCATGTATAATACTGTACATTAAGCATCACTTCAATAACAATACATCTTGTGAATTACAACCACTGCTTCCGACTCTTTTCATTTAACTGATTAGAGCACTATTGCGTTCCATTTTGTGGTGCTGCCATTTTTTGTTCTTTCTCATTTACTGGCGTGCTTAAGTGTAAAATAATGCGCATCAGATCAAGAAATTGGTTTTAACTTGTGGGGTAGGAATAAGCACAATTTGTAATAACTTTTTTTTTATAACAAATGTATTATTTATTTTCTAATAATTTGGAAAATTTTAAAGCTTTACTTGTATCTGCGTAAGCAACCCTGAAAACAAGTAGAAAGCCATTTCCGGTTTACTTGACAGAAAGTTGACATGGAAACGGATGTCCTCAATGTGGCATAAGATAAATTTAAACGACTTACATTTTTGTGAACTACAATCAAATTAGTTTGTATGACTTTTTGTTTGATTTGAAGTGACCTTGATAAGGCCGGACAGCTCTGCCTTGCTATATAATGTTAGTAATGAATGCATCTGCGGCCGCAACAGCCGAGTGGGTCGTACTGCGTAAGGTTCGAGTCCTGATCCGAACATGCATATGTTAATACATACATCACTTTTAATAATGCCTGTTATGCACGTACGAGACACCGGCCGGTTTTGCGCTGTCAAAAGGCAAACAGTTGTGCTGTGCGAGGTAGCGCGAGCAAAATCTTCGCCATTATACATAATCATTGTGACTCTTTCAGGTGCTAACACCCCTGATTCGTGTTTTATTTTCCTTGTCAGCCTCATTGTACAATAAAGTTAAAAAAATATCGGTCAAAGTATTGTAAGATCTACTTAATGGGGTTAATTAAAAATTTAAGAGATTACACTGCCACCTTTTATATAATATTAAATGAACATTTAATAAAAGGTCGAGGAAATGAAAACGAATTATTCATATCGTTAAATTTAACTACGTGTTTCCCGATCCTCACGGCCCTTAGAATAGAAAAATTTAAATTTTAAGATGGAATAAATAAATGGACTTATATATATATATTAAATATTTATTAAATAAATTTTTCCAAATACAATACAATTTCCATACATGATTTAGTTTTATTGTTGCTTTGTAAACATTCAAATGAATACCCGCAATGTTGGTAAGTACATTTTCATATATTGTGGTTAATTTGGTTTGCTGTAGAGACACACACAAAATGACACAAATTCTAGTTACAATTAAGACTTTTTTCAACCATTTATTTTTTTCACAAATTTCATTGATACCTTAAATTTTGTTGTTGTTTTATATGTACTGTATATATGTAAGTTCGTTTTGAATATGCGTTTGTTTATTAATTTTTGGCCTTTTAGTGTTTTTTTATTTTAATTATGCATTTACACGGGAAACATATGACTAAAGAGCAATATATAATAGTATAGTTAACATAGTTTTGTAAATATTAATAAGTATGTGTGTACGTAAATCTGTTCAGTACAGTTTGGCATTCTAAGTGCGATAGATTTGCTGCAATATTTTGTTGTGGTTTTGATTTATTAATTTATTACTTTATAATCTTGGCGTTTCAGTTGTAGCAGTGCCACCTGTGAGTAATATTCGTCTTGTTTGTTACATTTCGTTTAATTCTGCTATATATGAACTTTGGGATGTTGTAGTAAGCTTATATTTTTTGTGATTATTTTGTTGACATTTACTACATTTTCTACAATAGTTAAATTATAATTTGGTTATCGTGCGTACTGTTTTAATAATTCCTCATTTTCTACATAACTTATTAGCAGTTTTTGTTATTTCCTGTTTAAATACAAAGTTAATTATTGCCGCTTTGATCTCTACTTTGAATACACAGTTATTTATTATTATATTTTTAAATTTTTAAATTTTGTTTAAATGTCTATTTATTGTGCATAACGAGTTTTTTTTTTTTAATAAATACTTGTTCCACCACCGCTTTTAATTTATCTGGTTTAGCAATATTCGGGTTAGTTAGTTTTTATCTGATCTGAAATTAGACCCGCTATTTACTTCAATACCGAAAAAAATGTCAAGCTTTCTATTTTTTCTATAACATATGTAGATGCTAATGGGAACATAAAGGTTTGCAATCCTATTTTAATATCATTTTAAGTTTAATATTTTTGTTGACTGAAAGCGCAATTTAAATGAAAGCTTTAATTCTTGTTTGAAGATTTCTGTTATTAATTTATGCAAGTTCTATTTAAGATATACAATATGTTTTGGTTTTGTCAAATATTGTACATATGTACAATACATACGTGAAAGTTTTTTCTATGTCTTATGTATATGAATCATCGTGTAACACTTATAAATGCAAATTAGATACATTTATTGATTGGTTTATATTTTTAAATGTATGTTTAATACTTTATACATAAATAGCATTTATGGGTTTTCGTAAATAGTCTTTCACTGTATAATTTTTATTGTTTTAGCAATTATGTTTTAATACATACACATATGACTTTGAGGTAGTTATTTTAATTCATTTTCTTTACGTTTTCAAAAGTCTCAGTTTTAATATTTATTTTAAGTATATTCTTTTAACTGAATTTATTTTCCTTCATTTTTATGTTCGTACATAGTACATACATACATACATACATACATAAGCCTGCAAATACTTTTTTATTATATATAGTTTTTCGTAAAATATTAAATTTACGAATACTCCTTATAATTGGTTGGCATAAAAACTGCGTGAAAACAAGCGCCAAATTTATGGAAAGCAGTATTTGAAGATAAGACAACGACTAGCTCATAGACATCTTGATGTTGCTTGGGGTAGGAGTTTTAAGAGAGTTTTTCATTGGTTTATTGGAATAAAGGCCTATTGTTGGAGTATTTATACCGCTTACTAATAAAAGAAATGTTGCGAGATTTTTTTTTTACAAATACCGGCAAATATGCCCAATTTTTACGTGACTTCTCAACTTTGCCAGCAAAACAAAAACGCAAATGCAATGACGCAATGAACATTTGCTTCTCTATTTTTTTTTTTCAAAAAAAACCGCTATAAATTTTTTTTAAAAGTAATCATTGATCCTGTTTGAAAGTTTCTCATTTTCATTTCAATTGATGGAGCTTACGGAAAAGAAACATGACGCATCCTCGTGTATACACATATGTACGAGTATGTCCATTTCGAAAGCTTGATTTTGTGTGTTAACTTCCTGCGACACTTATTTAGTTGTTTGTAAGAACAAGGTATAAAAAAGACTTTTTAATCGCATAAATTCAATGAAATTACTAACATAGTTAATAAAAACCATTTGAACGGCATAAATGATCGAAACCATTTATTCGACATCACGAATTATGAAAATGATAAAACTAAAAGTTAGGTAAACAATCGAAAATATATGAAGCAACTGAAAAAATTGTAAAAAATTAATATATGAATAATACTTGCCTTCAAAATTCAATAAAAATCCAAATTAAAAGATAATTGTGCTAAAATGAAAAATACTTGCCTTAAAAAATTAGCTCCCATTAATTAGATTTGAATTATTATAAAATAAAAAAAAATTACGTATTCGTTTTTTCTTATATTTTTTAAGCCACAAAAAATACTAAGATGTTTTTCACAAAAACAATTCTTAATTTTGCAGTTTTTTCAATTTTTTTACGATTTTTTTTTAATTTAAATAGCATAACTAAACTATTTTTTAACATAATTTCTTTTACATTTATTAATTATAAGTCATAATATATTGATTTTTTCGTATAATATTTACCTGTTCGGTACATTTGCATTTAATACAATTTACAACTATACTTTAAATTATATTGTACACGACTAATCTTTAATTTCGGTACACAAGTAAATTTCGCGCAAGAAAGCACGGTTTGGCGCAGCACAAAAGTTTTTTTTTCTTTTTATTCAACTCTTATGTACTGTATAGACTCGCTTGTTAAAAATAAAGAATAGTTTAAATGATCAAATTTATTAATAGTAGCTTATTTTTAAGTGTTTTTGGAAAGAAAATGCGAAAGTATATTTTTTCATAAATTAAAATGTAAAATCAAATAATTTATTCTATACATAAGTCCTTATGTATGTATATATGCATACATATGTAAGCTAAAAAAACTAATTGAAAATAATTGTATTATAACAGTAAGTAAAGTAAATAGTAAATAATTTTTACTTAATACGAATTTACTTAAATAACCATATGCCTTACTTTTGAACTTATTACATTTCATTAATAAACTTATATGCGACGCATTGTACGCAAGCGTACGCCCGCCAGCGGCTTTAATTATAAACTACTATCACACAGAGAAACCGTTAGCCGGCGCAACGATGAGTCACAATACGCCGGAAGAGTTGCGTAAAACCCAAAACAAGGCACATTGCCAAGTTGTTGTGTACATACATACATATGAGTATTATCTGTGACGACATGCACAATTATTGAAAAGTTCTCTAATCAGTACACAAGCAAATGCGGCGTAAAACTCAACATAATTTATGAGTTTTGTTTTATATACGTCATCACACTTCCAGCCGCTACTTTTTTATTAGTTTTTAATTTTTTATAATTAAAGTGCTTGGCTTACCATATTTTTTTTCATATGTATGCATGTAGTCTTTAAAAAATTATATAAAGTTAAAGCATGTATGTGTCTATTTTTTTCTTGAACGTCATTTTAAATGCAAAATACGTTTCTATTAGAAATTTTCAAACAAATATTAAGTGTTTAAATTGTTCTTTCTCAAATCAGAAATATGCGAAAATGCTTAACAATATAAAATTGATTTGCGATTTAACTATAAAGAGCTGATTTCTGCTAACACAATGCTGCTTCGGTCTGGTTGATGTTGTTTTAACAAATAAAGTGAAACATAAATTAAGTAATATGCAACCTGAATGTGTTTCACGTTAACTGAAAAGTATGCATCTATAAGGTGCATTTTATTTTTTTTATTCAAAAGCTTCAATTCAAAGAATTTAAGAGTGCGAAATGCAATCATTAATTAATGCAGGCAAATTTTAACTTGTTGGCAAAATTAAAATAAAATAAGTGGTTGGAAAAAATAATAATTTAAGCATCCCCCTTGAG